TCCAGGTTGATTGCTACATTATTCATAATAGCAAAGAAATGGACCCAGCCTGGACATCTAGTTTATCAACAGCTGTTAAGAAAAAAAAATGGAATTATTAAAATTTCAGAAATGGATGGGACCAGAAGGTATTGAGGTGACCAAGTCTCAGAAAGACAAAACTCACATGTTCTCGCCTGAGTGGATGCCAATATTTAATGTTTGTATTTATGCAAATAAAGGCTGTGAGAATGGGTGTACACCATGGAACAGGAGACCATGAGAAGGAAACAGGAGAGTTAAGAAAGCGGAGTGTGCACAAAGGGCCCACATGGCATAAAGGTGGAAAGGAGGGTCCAGGGCTGGGAGCCCACGAGGGAAGGAAGGATGCGGAAGAACCAGGGGGAGAAACAGCAAAGACCATTTTTAAAACTGCCATGATGAGGGGCTGGAGAGATGGCTCAGTGGTTAAGAGCACTGGCTGCTCTTCCAGAGGACCCTGGCTCAACTCCTAGCACACACATGGCAGCTCACAACTAACCAGGGGATCTGACACCCTCACACAGACATACATGCTGGCAGAACACCAATGTACATAAAATACAAATAAAAAATTTAAATGCCATAATAAAAGCTAATTTTTAAAAGACTTTTAGTTATATTTTGATTTTATTGTCTTATTTTTGCTCTCTCTCTCTCTCTCTCACTGTGTGTGTGTAAATGTGTGGAGACAGTAGATAACTTGGGAGAGTTGGCTCTCTCCTCTATCCCCTAGTTTTAGGAATTGAATTCAGACCATCAGGCTTAGTGGCAGGTGTCTTTATTCATTGTCATCCCCAGCCAGCTCCAAACTTGATTTTTTTTTTTCAGATGCTCAAAACAGGAGAACTTAATTCCTCTGTTTTCCACAAAAATGTTGAGGGTAGGAGAGAGGGTTCCACAGTAGAGAAGTTACTGTTTATGCAAAGGCCCTGAGCGCAGTTCCCAGCATCCATGTTGGGTGGCCCGCAGCTGCCTGTAAGCCCAGCTCTCTTCTGGCCTCCTCAGACACTGCACTCGTGTACACATATTCCACACGCACACATATACATCTACACACATTCCACGTGCAAACGCACATACATGTATACACATTCCACATGTGCACCCACATACGTGTACACACATTCCACACATGTTCATGATTCAACATCTCTTTTTAAAATGTTGAAAATAATACAGAAAAACACAACTGAGCAATTTGGCAACAAAAGACTTGAATAGCAGTTGTCCTATTAGACAGAGCGGAGTTTAACGAGAGTCTGAAGGCAGGAAAGGACGAGGCATGCTCGGGAGGGCGCTAATTAGATGCATCACGGACAAATGGGTTTCGAAACACAAACCTGAAATGGAAGTTGGCCACTGACATGAGGAAGCAGATGGGCTTGGAAATCCCAGTCTACCCCTATCTGACAACATCTGATCAGGCAGAGAGTAAACGCAAGGCAAACGTGTTAGCCAGACATAACTAATAGGTCACCCTGGGAGCAGCCCCAGAAATTAATCGTGTACCAGCTCATAGAAGAATTATCAGTAGCTTCCATCTTGGTTCACACCATAGAGAAATAATAGAACACGGTAGTAGGGAGCCATCGAAATCTCAGGCCTATGTATTTAATTTTTACGAGGTTTATTCATTTGATTTCCCACGTGAATGTTTTGTCTACACATATCTATGTATACCATGTGTTGTGCTTGGCGCCCAGGGAAGTCAGAAGAGGGCATCAGGTTCCCTGGGACTGGAGTTAGGGATGGCTGTGAGCCACTGTCTGTTGGATATCCTAAATGCCCTTGCGTGATGAAAACACATCGATTAAGCCTTTCCCCAGACTCTGACATGTGCTGACCTGAGATCTACCATAGAGAGTGTTCTATAGAAAGACCGTAGGAGCTTCCCTTGAAGGCCAAACCCAGGCAGAGTCGCTGGCTCTCTCCCCTGCTGCTTATGCAGGCTCTGGCTGATAAGGCAGTGCACGGGAAATGAAGAGAAGGACAGCAAGGAAGAAAGATAAAGATTGTTACTTCACGGGAGAGAGCCTGCCCGGCTGTGTGTAACTGCTACAATGGCATGGAGGATGGAATTGGGAGGACTGATTACGTAGCAAGTCTGGGGCGTGAGGCCCTGTCTGAAAATAAGGCAAAAAATAAAAAACAATAAATAACCTAGCACAATCCAGTAACAATTAGAAATGGTTATGTCCAGCAAACTTTCTCACAAAGTAAAATACGTTTTTTTTTTTTTTTTTTTTTTTTTTCTTTTTTTTTTATTTTTTTTTTGTTTTTTTTTTTTTTTTTTTTTTTTTTTTTTTTTTTTTGTTTTTTTTTTTTGGTTTTTTTTTTTTTTTTTTTAATAACTACGAAACCCACAATGTTATCTGACAGGTGTTCTTACTGGAGAACAAATATCTGCTGCAGTGGATTGATCTGGAATCCCCTCCTCTCCCCTCCCCCCAAGCCCTGTGGCAAAGGCTTGGTCTCTATCAGGGTGCATTTGGAAGGTGATGGAGTCTGTTAAGGGTGGGGCTCAGCGGAGGGTGGGTGTCCTCAGGTGGGACACTGGGACTCCATGAGGTGAAACAAAGCTTTTTTGTTTTTTCTTATAAACTGATTGTCCCAGGCGTTTTATCACAGTAATGCAAAGCTGACTAACACATTACCACTATCTAAATAAGTTTGGGGAAGGGAGAATCACTCTGCCCCCGGGTCATTTTGAAAAGACGTAGTAACTGAGAGTGTCAACAGGCAAACAAACTAATGGGGTTGAAGATTGACTAGGAACAATTCAGATCACAGAGAAAGTGTGTGTTTGTGTGTGTCTATTAAAAAAAAAAAAATCCAGGCAGAGCTAAGATCTAAATACGGAAGCCACAGATAAAAACTTAGGACAGCCTTGAGAATTTGGCATGGGGAGAGGTTTCTTCAAAACATGAGAAAGACCAGTTATGATGGGGAAAGAGGCTGACTGGCCTTTCCACATCAGAGCTTGCTCGTGTCAGCCTTCTCTCTTCTGCTCACTGGGCACAGAGAATTGGTCCCTGTGTGCTGCTCACCAGCGTGAAAATAGGTGCTGAGATCTGGCTGAGGGAAGCCCCCCTAGGGAGCATGCGTCAAATTGGATGCCCTGGTGTTTTTGTTTGTTTGTTTGTTTTTTTCTTAGACGCACTTTCTGTCCTCAGCAAGGGATTCAAACCATCTGTGAGGAACCTCTTGGTAAAGAGCCTCCAAGGCAGGGCTGGTAAGCTGAGAGAGACCATGGCAACTTCAGGAACGTGGGCCTGATCGTTTTTTTGTCGCTCCCACGCTCTCTTGGGTCACCAGAACACAAGGCGTGGGCTGTTCATCGATACCTCACGGCCCGCCCTAACTGAGCTCTAGAGTCACGGCAGGAGCTTGTTAAAAATTGGTCAGAGGGCCCCACCCCAGTGCACTCTGATTCAGGCTGTGCCAGGCAGTTTAGAAATCGGCACCTGACTAGCTCCCGAGGGTGGCCAGCTTTGGACCTGCCGAGCTGGCTCGGCCTCCAGGGTCCAGAGGCAGAACAACTTGGTTCCCAAGGATGTAGAACTGCCCGGGCTGAGAATGTGGAAGGATCCACACCCGGACTGTTGCCAGAGCAGGAAGGACAGTGGCTTGGGATGGAGACTGAATGGTCCAGCAAAAAAGCAAGGGGCCTGACTGAAGCTGATCCCTCGTGGCCCCTTCGTGCGGTCTCTGTCCCGACCCCGTGCTCAGGTGGACTGTCCTCTACCTTTTTTCTTCAGCCTGAGCACGCCTTGAGAGCAAGACGCCTACCGTCATGCCAGCATGCATTTATTCAGTGTTCACCTGTGCACAGTGTTTGTTAGGACATTCCCGTGCTGGGGGCGGGCTGCCGCAGGGAGCTGCACCTTTCCAGGCTGGTGGGAGAGGGCTGTCAGAAAGTGTATCGAGTTCTGCAATGGAGAGCCATCAGACACCCCAGGGGAACATCTCTTCTCTACTTGGAAACCTGGAAGTATGGGATGGATAATGACAAATAACAACAGTTCCCGAGAACAGGGAGGGGTGGGGGACAGGGACTGTTTGACACCCCGGAAATCAGGATGTGCAGGACCTTGGGAGAGAGTTGAACTGAGAGGCCAGGGGCTATCAGAGGAGTTGAGGCAAATCATGTGGAGGTGAGCCCGCATCCTGGGATCCCCACTAGCCCTGCTGGTGGCCCCTTTTTGGCTCACCAGGGGCAGGAAGAGGGGTTGGGACATAGCAGAAGTTAAGTTGCTATGTGACAGGGCCTGAGGGTCCTGTGCTGGAGAAAGGGAGGCTTGGGTGGGACTCCTGAGAGTAAAGAAAGAAGAGAGGACAATAGGTACTTCATCTCTACACACACACACACACACACACACACACAGACACACACACACACACACACCTGTGCCAGTGGCTGTTGAAAATGGTACCCTAAGGTGGCTGTCACTGAGTGGTGACATTTCCTGATAAAATGATGAATTTCTTATTGCTTAGGCAAGTTTTGCCTTTGCTGGTATGTCTACAGTGTACCGCTTGCCTCCTCGGAATGGATAACCGCAATTTGTGAGGTGCAAATTTGCTTATTAACCTGAAGGTATCGGTGGTGTATAGAACTGGTGCAAAGTAGCAGCCTCAAGAGTCTTCCTGTACCCCTCAGCATAGCTGGACTGGTGAGCAAGGGAAGAGAGGAACTGTGGGGAGCCTTCCTCAGGCCACCACACAGGCCTCGAAGGCACTGTGGGGCCGGCTTCTCCCGTGAAATCAAAGCAGGCCTAGGAGAGCAAACTGGCCCTGAGTCGACAGAGCGAGGAGTCAAGGGCACCCCCGTCACCTAATGCAGAGGCAGGAGCCCAGACACAGGCAAGGGGTGCGGATTCTGCGAGCCGTCTCCAGGGAGCAGGACCAAGGTTCCCAGGACTCCTGCTGGGGGCGGGTGGCTCTTGCCTAAATTCCCCCTTTGGGTTTCTCTTTTCTAGATTCACTTCCCGGATGTGGAACGTGTGGAGTGGGCCAATAAGGTAAGGAGTGGGCGGGGCATTGGTGGTCAGGGCAGGCTGCATCCATTGCAGGCCTGGGCATCTCTGCTCCTTCCCGTAACCAAGGGAACTCTACTCACCGCTGGAGTCCCTGAGCAACCCCGATGAGAGCGTTGTGCAGACCCAAACCTCAGACTGTACTTCCCCTGCTAAGGAGGGCAGAGAGGCCCCTCCAACGCCAAGCTTGAGTGACAGGCTCCCCGGCTGGTTCATTCACAAAAGGGCTTTCTTCCCTTCAAGTTTTTTTTTTCCCCCTTTAGATAAGTTTTAAATTAATATCTGGGCCAAGGAGAAAAGTTAAAAAAAAAAACAAAAAACACAGAAAATTTATAGAGAAAAGTGCAACCCTTATTTCCTTCCTCTCAAGATCATTATGTAAGTCAAGGAACACACTAATTAGACACCACATCTGGATTCCTTATGGCTTCCAACCCAGCTACAAAGCCACTGCTGTGCAGCCTTGGGCAATTTGCCCAGCATCTCTGAGCTGGTTTCCTTATCTGTGCAATGGGACTGAATATGATCCGGGCCCAGGCCCATGGTGAGTACGGGTTCTCTGACACCAGGGGAGGAAAGTAGTTATGACTGGAGGAAGGTCACCTAGCGGAATGCCCCTCGTGCTGGCTAGCTGCTCCATGTCCTGCCTTCTGACCCGTCTGCATCAGGAACCCCGACTTTCCAGATGAGAAGCCTGAGTGCCCCACCCCCAGCCTGGAGACTCCTGATTCTCAGACTCTCCTTAAGCCTGGGACGAGGCTTGGTCTATAGCAGCACTCCTGGGTCCCATTCCTTCAGGCTCTGCTGTGGCTACTGGAAGGAGCAGAGTGGAAGGAGGGCTGCCTTCATAGGATAGACCGAAGCCCAGGGCCTCGACTACTTCTGCCCTCCAACCTGTCACTTTACACCTGCTACAATAGCAAATGCTCACTAGTGGTGAAAGGGAAACTGAACTAGTCTGTGGGTCAGTTAAGGATGTTGTGCCTTGCCAGAGCGATAGCCTAGCAGGTAAGGATGTTCCGTTCCCATGACGTACATGGTAGGGAAGAACACAGTCCTATGAGTTGTCCCCTGACCTCCACGTGCGTGCTATGGTGCAAAGTGTATACACACACAGACACACACACATATATTCACACTCGCTCACTAAATATGCGTGCGCGCGCGCGTGTGTGTGTGTGTGTGTGTGTGTGTGTGTGTGTATAATTTTGGAAATTTTTGATCGTTGTATAGCTGCATCTGCATGACATCAATTTTTATCAACAATGAACCAAAATACCATTGTGGTCCCATGGATTATGATGGAGCTGAGCACTTCCTGCCTACTGTTTCTCTCAGCCATGTCTTTTCTGGGCTTGGCTCTGTTTACAAACACTGCCCACTGTGTCATAGCTGCCTGCAACATTCATTCATCACAAAAACTTGCTGGGCAGGTTCACAGCCTAGGAGCCGTAAGCTGTACCAACCAGCTGGGTGTGTAGTAGGCTAGACCGTCTGGGTTTGTGTAAGGACTCAATATTTACGTAAGGAGAGAGCATGGGTACATGAGGTCCCAGTATCTGAAGGAACTGGGTCCCATCCTTGGCTTTCAGACCAGCCCTGTGACTCATCCTAGGGCAGAAATGGGCCAAAGGCTGCCTCTTCTGGCTTCTAGAAATTATACCCACAGGAAACAGTTCATCACTGTTTTTTCCTTAACCTGTTAGCACCTGTTACCCTGCATATAAGCTGCAATACAGAACGAGCATGTGTTTCGCAGAGACCTAATGGCTTTGTATGACTAAACATACAAGTGTGTATGACTAAACAGAAGTGTGTTTCCATGGTACCCTGCACAATGCACCCAAACCTCTTGGTGGCAGTGGGACCTGCTGCTGTCCTTGCGTATTTGCAGGATGGATTGATTGATAGGTGGGGGACAGCATGAGGACTGTGGGCTCCACCCATGGAGCCAGGCTGCAGAGGACTGGGGCACAGACCCGACCTCCAAGGGCCTCTGTCCCTATTTGCAGATCATCACGCAGATCTGGCCCTACCTAAGTATGATCATGGAGAACAAGGTTCGGGAGAAGCTGGAGCCCAAGATCCGGGAGAAGAGTGCCCACCTCAGGACCTTCACCTTCACCAAGCTCTACTTTGGACAGAAGGTTGGTGCTCCTCCATGAGGTCAGCCTGGATCTGCTGGGCAGTCTTTTCCCTGTCTTCTCTTCTTAGTTCCCCTCACCACCGTCAGTCACCTGATGATGAAGATCCCGCTGGGCCCCAGAGGGCCACAGCCCCTGCTGTGTTTCCCAGCATGTCAGGCTCAGTGCACAGGCCTCACCTCCTGTCCTCCTGCCCAGCTTTTCAGGTTCCAAGAAACCAAGGCCAGAGAACAGAAAGAAACTGAGGGAAATAGTTCCTTCTATTCTTAGAGAGTTTAGAAACATGCATGAAGGGAGCCAGATCCATACAAAGATGGACAGGTTGAGCTGGGCATGGTGGTGCACACCTGTAATCCCAGCACTCGGGGAGGCAGAGGCAGGTGGATCATTGGGAGTTCAAGGCCAGCCTGGCCTGCAAAGTGAGCCTACAAAGTGAAAGTGAGTCCAGGGCAGCCAAGGTTGCATAGAGAAACCCTATCTCGGGAAGAAGAAGAAAAGATGGACAGATTGTAACTGCTGACCTCAGGACCCAGCCGTGACCACCTGTCTGGTGGTTTGTGACAGTCCCACAAAGCAGTTCAGAGTATTAGGAGCTCACAGTAGCTCTGTGAAGACTACAGACACCCCAAAAGAAGTGCTGTCCGAGTTGCTTTTGAAGAACTCGGAAGGCAGAGCCACGAGGACTGTGGAGCTTAGAGCAGGGCCTGGCTTCCAGGCCACTCCTTTGGCAACCCAAGGAGGTTGATCAGATGTTCTAGCCCTGCAAGTGAATGGCCAGACTCTCCCTCCTGCCTTTTCAAGGCCTTCTGTTCCTGGCCTTGACCATCTCCTCTTTGTCCCTCATCCTCCCATTTTCCCTCCCTCCATTGACTGAGTAGAGTTCTCCCAGGACACAAGCTCTCCCCTGTGCATTTGTCCTATCTCCTTCTTTTACATCTGCCATTGTTTCTAGCATTCTCTGGGCTAGAGTGACCTTGGGCCACTTTACCTACCCTCCATAAGGGCCAGCAGCCTAACATATAAAAGGAATAGCCTGTTTCTAAGGCCTGCTCTGAGGCATGTGCAGGCCTGGCCTCAGGAGGCCTCTGCAGCTGTGTAAGCAACGTCCCACATGTTCTGGACTGCTGCCCTTGTCCAGCTGTGCGCATGGACCAGGACTAGCCTGCCTGGCATAGAGTGGGTCCCTAATATCTGTCACTGAGGTGAGGTATGAGGTAGCTGACCATTATTAGATTCCAGGCGGCCCTCTACTCCCAGCAGGTCCTGAGGTGACTGAGCACAGTGCCCTTCCCCGAGCCCACACTTCCAATGAGGCCAGGGCAGAGCCAGGCTCTCTGTGCCCTTTGCGCTTTTGCAATTTCGGGGACCCTCCCCCCCCCAAAAAAAATATAAAACTGAAAGTTGCCTAACATGGAAGAAGGTCTTGGATTCAATTTCAGATACCACAGAAAGTCTCAAATTAAAAATACCAGATAAATTGTAAATAGATGTAAGAAAACTAACCACAGTCGCAGAAAAACAACCACGACCACCACAAAACCGTTGTGTTCTTAATGAACTCCTGAACGTGTCCCTGTCATATTTATGCTCCATACTTTGATAACCTATTTAAAGGTTACTACATTTTCAGATTTTATTGTGTGTGCCTGAGCGAGTTTATATGTGCCACATGCATGCCAGAGGCTCTCAGGAGAGGGGAGGGCGAGAAGAAGGAAAGGGCAGCCACTGTGTAGGTTCTGGAAACCAAACCCTGGTCTCTCCAGCTCCGATAATCCATTTTAAAATGATACTTTCTGTGGCGTGAATAGAAATGTAATGGAATCCTTCCTCCTTGTGAAACTGGTTGAACTTTCCCCCAATAATTTACCGTGAAAAATTTCAAACATAAAATTTTTAATGAAGTAACCAGTGAACAGACTCACCATCATACAGATTAAGCTGGATTTATTATATTTCCGTGCCTCTGTCTCTTATACTCATCTCTCTCTAAAACGTACTGTAAACTGAATAGACGCAGGTCAGTGAACCTTTCCCCTCAGTGCTTTGACGTGCATGTTGCTGATTCAGGTACAAATGAAATTTAGGTTTTACTCTTGATTAGTCTTAGCCAGAGTACCCAAGAGAACAGTGAGCAGAGGGGGAGATGGAAACAGAAGGGATTGGATCTTCTGTTCCCCTGTGGGGCCAGCTTCTTCCCATCTGCCACACTCAGGCTAAACCTCAGGAGATGCTGCAACCCTCTCCCTAAGTCCCCTGGGGTAGTGGGGTACAGAGAGGCTTTTCCTTATTTGACTCTTCCCAGTCCACGGTCTCTGGGGCTGGGCTGGGACCATATGAAGCCAAGCTAGAACCCCACTGCCCCTTGGCTTCTGCAGGCCAAAGCTTCATAGCATGGATACTGGCAAGTAGCTGGCTGTGGCAGGAAGGAAAAGCGTGAAGGGGACCCATTGCCTTACTCTCATCTTTTCCAGTGCCCCAAGGTGAACGGTGTCAAGGCACACATTGACAAAAGCAACCGGAGGAAAGTGACCCTGGACCTGCAGATCTGGTGAGTCCTGGTGTCTGGGGAACAGGCCAGGTAGCTCTAGACAGTAGCTTGAAGATAGAGCAGATTGCATGAACATGAACTTGGGGTCTAAAAGCCTTCCTAGGACCACAGCCACCTCTGGGCTGGTGCCCAGGTTCTTTGTAAAAGGCAGAGTACAGAAGAGCGACTGTCCCCAAATAGCCAACCCTGGTTTACTCCGCAGCTTGAGCCTGGCTTCTTGGAACCCCCAGCAGCTCTGCACGACAGAGCCAGGCAGCAGAGCTTTCTTGCAAGCCACAGTTGGGCTACCTGGATAGTCGGAGCAGCCTCTTAGGAGCTGGTCTCCATTGTGCTCGGGTGGTGGCCCTGGCCCCAGGCGCTCTGCCATGAGATCCTCATATGAGTGGTTCAGCCTCCCAGGTGGTGCTTGGCACCGCTGCCACCCTGTTCTGCCTGACCCCGCTCACCGAGCATTCCTGTGGTCTGTGCCCATGTGTGCCAGTGTGTGACTGCCCACCTCCTCCCTCCCCTTAGTCTCCTTCAGGCCTTAACCAGTCTCTTGACCTTTGCCCTCAAAGGCACCCATCCTGGGCTCCTCAGGGCCCATCCCCTGATGGTCACCCGCGTGCCCTGTCTCCACCTCCAGCAATAACTAGTAGTGATGGCAGGATGAACCCGGGGACACTGCATCTGTGCCCTCTTGGTCAGGAACCCAGATGTGGCAGAAGGACCACGTGCTTACAAGTCCCTCCTTTTCCTCTCTGGATGCCGTGGGGCTAGGTAGTACCACAAGGCACTGCTTTCATAGACAGACGGGGTGCAGGAGTCGGGGAGGGGCCGAGAGAGGCTGAGGCCGTGGTATGAGTGACACTTTGAGTGACAACTGACCCTTGGTGGCCGGCAAGAAGGGCCAAAGCTGTGTGCTACCGGACGGGTTTCCTGCTTGCTCTTTCCTCTCCTCCCTTCACTCTCCCTGTTTTAGCTACATCGGGGACTGTGAGATCAGTGTGGAGCTTCAGAAGATCCGAGCAGGCGTCAATGGCATCCAGGTGAGTGTAGACACAATGACTGTTGCCCCATTCCCTGCAGTGGGCTCGGGGAAGTGGAAGCAGCTCACACTGGAACAGGCTATGAAAGACTTGATGTCACCATGGGCTGGTGACATCATGGGAGCAGCCATGAAGTCACACAGTCAGCAAGTGGTCCTGGGCTTCCCTAACCCTGCTTGGCCTTGGGGCTCTGGAGCCACTGGTGTGTCAAGTCTCCAGAGGCTTTGGCTGCGTAGGGAAGGGAGGGAGAGCCTTACCTTAAGACCCAGGTAGGCTGGGAGGCACAAATGCCCCTTGTCAGAAGCTGTATCCAGATGTGGGAATCTGGGTACCCCGGCCACCCCAGCTGCCCACAGTGTAGATAGTCCATGGCCTTTGTAGTTAGTTGGTGGCCAGCAGTGGGGTCACAGCCATGTACAGGCCCCAGAACATAAAGTATGGTCCCTTCAGTGAGAGCTGGAGGCCTAGTCAGGTCGTCTCGACAGTGGGGGCGGCATGCGTGATAATGAGGCCCCGAAGGGACTGAGCTGAGTGGCGGGTATGAGGAGAAAGGAGGTTCGGCCCCTCACGACTCTCTGTGCCCACCAGTTGCAGGGCACCCTACGTATCATTCTAGAGCCCCTGCTGGTGGACAAGCCCTTCGTGGGAGCCGTGACCGTGTTCTTCCTGCAGAAGCCGGTGAGCTCGAAGCCTAGGGACAGGCCTAGTGCTCCCCGTGAGCAGATATTTGGACCTCCCATATTGGCATCTAGCCTGAAAACAGATGTCGCCTCAACCCACCACAGCTGGACAGCTCTGCCCCAAAGCTAATTTGGTCCATAAGGCAATTTCAAGGAGTTAGAGTCGGCTCTGCCCGTGATAGGGAAGCTAAGCTCCAAAGTGGAGCTGAGACAAACATGGGCCGGCCTGGCTGGGTAGCACAGCCGGCTCCTTTCAGTGGTGGGCCTGGCATGAGCATCAGGCCTGACTGGCCTCAACGAAGGCCTGGAGTCCTGTAGTTTCTCTCTGCTATGCTGTTCAAACACCAATCAGAAGCAGCTTAGGAGAGAAATGGGTTAATCCCAGCATTCAGTTCCTCATTGAGGGAAGTCGGAGCAGGAATTCAAGCAGATGCTTAAAGCAGAAACCACAGAGGAAAACTGCTTGCTCGCTTTCTTATTCAGCCTAAGACCATCTCCTGCTCAGGGAATAGTGTCACCCACGGTGGGCCGGGCCCTTCTATGTCAATTAACAATCAAGACACACCCCTACCGCCTCACCCATAGGCTAGTATGATCTGGGCAACCCCTCAAATGAGGCTTCTCCACTGGCTCTTTGTTGTGTCCAGGTGACAACTAAAGCTAGCTAGGACACTCCTCCATATCGCAGGAGAGGTTTGGCAGGCTGAGACCTCTTCCCTACCTCACTCCTGCACAGGGTGCACCTCAGCATGTGGGGTTCTCCCTTGAGGGGGTGTGAGGAGTTGGGGAGAAGTTATGAGGCGTATGAGGAGTTAGTCCTGGGCTCCCAGATCCTTGAGCCTAACAGCCTCCCTTTGCCCTGCAGCACCTGCAGATCAACTGGACAGGCTTGACCAACCTGCTGGACATGCCGGGTATCAAGTGAGTGCCTGGGGTGCAGGGGGCTGTCTGGAATCCTAACAGTGCGTGCGATGAGCTGAAGAGGCTGGATCCTCCCCACACTCCGCATGAGAAGTGGGGAAAGGGGCAAGCACAGGGCACGTGTGTGTGCGTGCATGCATGCGCTCATGTGTGGTTAGAGGAGGCTAACCTGTGGACGAGTGCAAACAGTCCCGTAAGAGCTTTGCTCAGTGCTAGAATGAGGGGCCAGGTTTTTCCATCGCGAAGTCCCCAGACCGAGCCCATGCACACGCGTGTGGTGGAATCACACCGTGGTTATGTGTGTCATTGCTCTTCTTCACCCTTTCCTACCCCCAGTGTACTGGGAGGCCCGGTGGCCTCTGTAACCACGGGTAACATGCACAGAGGTGGGAAGGCACCTTTTCCCAGCAGAGGCCGGACAGATGGGGCAGGACTCGGAGACCTCCTCAGGCCAGGCGCAGGCGGCCTCTGACACCAGGCATCCTTCAAGGAGCAGAGGGGATGGGGTGTCAGCGTCATTGGAGCCGCCTCCCCAGGAGGCAGGGTCAGCTGGGCTGGGCAGGACGGCCCCAGAGAGGGACACCCAGATGCTCACTGGGGATGTCCCTCCTGATCTCACTGTTCCAAATGGAGAGAATCCAGCCAGGCACCTTTTCTCCCACTCTCTGAATATTTCATCCATGCATGCAATGAAATCTATCCATCATCTACTGCCCCGACTCTCCCCAGTCCCCCAATACATCCTCTTCCCAACTTCATCTCTTTCTATTTTTATTTGCAATAACCCATGGAGGCCAATTAATGGTGCGTATATGTGCATGAGTGTGGGCCCATCCACGGAAACCTACCTCTGCCCACACCCTCAGCAAAGAGCCTCCCTCTACCAGCAGCTGTCCACTGCCAATAGATCATCAGTTATCAGTGAGGCCTTGAGAGCGTCTCCCTACTTATGCTGGAATTCTGGCTGGTTTGTCCTGTGTGGGTATAGCTGCACTGAGTTCATGAGTGTGATGGCCATGTCATGTCTAGACGTTGACATTCAACTTCTTCCTATCCTCTGGCTATTGCATTCTTCCCACCTCCCCCTCCGCCATGATGGTGCCTGAACTTTGGCAATGGGTCTGATAAAGATGGCTAATTTAAGCAGCTATGTACTGTTATTGGAAAAAGACTTTTTTTTTTTGAGCACCTACCATGTGCCAGCCCTACTCCGGGTACTGCTCCCCCTGTTGGGGAAGGTGAGCCAAGGAGTAGAGAATGTCACCAGGGTCAAGGAAGAAAATGGCTTTGGTGGCCAGCTCTTAGGTCATGTTTTCTGTGGCCTCAGGGCTATCCTAGGTGATGTACCCACCATTTCCTTCAGGTCTAGTCATGGCACAGCCATTAGCAGCCCTGTGTTAGGTCACTGAGGTCAAGGGAGTAGGGACATCCATAGAGTCAGGGCAGCTAGGGAATATGAATGGGAATCTTGACCCAGGTCCTAAGACCTGTTCTTAAGGTGCTCTGTGTTGCCTGGAAATAAAGCAGGGCCGTGTGTGTGTGTGTGTGTGTGTGTGTGTGTGTGTGTGTGTGTGTGTGTGTGTTGTTTGGGGGGTATCGCAAGCAGCATGCTGCTCTTTGGGTCAGTATGTCTAGGTATCAGAAAGTATATCCACTTCACACCCAGCATCTGGGCAGGGGGAGTTCAGTGTTGCCTCTGGTGGAGCATTCTGCCAAGCCAGAGTCTCTGTGCCAAGCGCTGAGGATGGGTAGAGGGGCAGGTGGTATGGGGAGGCAATGCCACCCCTCCACAGCTTCATGGCTGTTTCAGTGACATATCAGACAGCCTGCTGGAGGACCTCATCGCTGCCCACCTGGTGCTGCCCAACCGTGTGACTGTGCCCGTGAAGAAGGGGATGGATGTAACCAACCTGCGCTTCCCTATGCCCTGTGTGAGTACCGGGAGCTGGCTCAGAGCATTGGGCCAGTGAGGATGGATGCTGGCCAGCTCGTTTTTTTTTTTTTTAGGACACAGCAACCCATTTCACAGGGTGCCACTGAACTAGGATGGGTATGTAACTTTCCCAAAGTCACCATCTGGGAAGGTATGTCCCCAGTATGGCTGGCAGTTGGTAGTACATGACACCTGAGGTCCCCTTCCTCCCTAGGAAGGCTCCTTTGGCTGTTCAGTGGAGGAAAGGACCTTTGCATCTACAGAGAAGGAAGGTTCTTGGAATTCTTTGGGTTCTGAGCCCATTTCACCAACTTGCTGGGGCCCGCTCATGAGGCCCCTGGAGGTTTCCCTGTGGCTGCCCTACAAAAAGTAGCAAAAAGTAACTCACTGCAGTTAGGGGCTCTGGAAGAGAAAAAACATACTCGTGTCACCGTCTGCCAGGAGAAAAGCGTTAGGCTTCCCGCTAATGCTCAGCCCGATACATACCACAGTGCACACACCAAGTTCAGAGCTGACTAGGCAGGGAGCATGGATGTCCAAGTCTTCCCACGGTCGCTTCGTGGCTTCAGCCACATGACATACGCAGCAGGACCATAACAACCTAAACATCGTCTTGCCCATGGGAGAATTCCTAAAAACATTTTATCCTCTGAGCATGCTCCATCGGGAACATACTGATGACTTGGCACACTTAAACCTCTTTGGGGGTAGCTTCTGTGTGAATATTCACATTGATTTCCTTCTGTCCGCTATCTTCAAGTTTTACTGTTTATTCTTTTTTGTACAATTACATAAAGGCCAATGCCAGAACTTTATCTTAAGGAGCTTCACTACCTCTTGCTCCTTTTTCTCAATCCCTGCCCCCCACCCTAAGGAACATTTTTTCCATTGTGTTGGAGCGTTAGTAAAGGGAACACATGCACATGGCCATATGTGTACCTCTCTGTTTATAGTCATAGTCCCCATTTCTTTTTATTTTTAGGTTTTTGATTAGTTCTTTGAGAATTCCATGCAGTGTATTTTGGAGAGGGGAGATGGACACAAAGGCCATGAAGGTCCACTTCTAGCTGAGAAGCTACTGGGAGCTGATCCCTGCTAGGAGAAGAATGAACTCACCGGGGTTTTAACCTTAAAGGGAACTGACGTTCCCCCTCCCTGGAATTTTGTCTGGCCTGAGCTTGCACGGGCCTTGTGTGTGCTGTCACAACTACCGGGTTCATCTACGCAGCTTGTATCCTTGTAGTCACCCACCCCCTCCGACTCTCGCAGCTTCCCGCTTCCCCTTCCACAACCATCCCTGAGGTTTGGGAGGAGGGCCTGTGACGTAGATAACCCACTTAGGGCTGAACAGGCTAGCCTCTCATCGTCTGCACCCCGCCAGGTTGTGGGTCTCCGTGTTAATCACCATCTGCTGCAAAAAGCTGCTTCTCTGGTGAGGGCTGAGAGATGCACTGACGTGGGTATAACAAAAAGTCATTGGGAGTCAGTTTAATACTATATTAGCAAGATGGTGGTATATTCTCCCCCGGGGTCACGGCCTGTCCAGCTATAGATTCTTGAAGCCTGTAATTTGGGCGGGGGGGGGGGCGCGGTCTGTGAGGCCAACGATTGCAATAGAGGTAACCCATTCCTGGCACTTGGATTTTTGTTAGCCTGTGAAGTCTAGCAGGAGCATTGCCATCCTTCTGTTGTAAGGTAATTTCATCACACACACAATCGGTGTGTTTTTGGAAGCCTCTACAGTAGAAAAGGCCTTAAGTGTTACTTAGCACAGATGTTAGCGTATTATTTCCCTTCCTTGCTCTTCTTGCTAACTTTGTCACAGAACCGTGCTGCCACAGTACAGATAGAGCCTTCCACATTCCTGCTGATGGCTGCAGAGTGTTGCACTGTGGAAGGTACTGTCACTGCCCCGCCAGCTCTGTTGATGGATAGTGACGTTGTGTCTGGACTTTTGCTGCTACAAGCAATAGTGCAAGGAGCAGCCCATGGGAAAGTCTTTTTTATCTTTTTGCCACTGTGCCATGGATAGATTCCCCAAAGTCATTTCGTAGATCAAAGGAAATGTGTATGCATTTACTGATATTTGAAAAAGCAATGCTCTAGGAAAGAGGCATACCCTAAGACCAATGAATTGTGACTTTCCAAGTTCAGGAGTGTGTGGGGAAAGGGTCTTCCCCGCGGTGAGTGATACAGAAGGAGGCATTTATGCATACAGGGTCCTACTGTCAATCAGGCCCACAGCATGCTGCCTGGAGAATCTCTAGCACTCAGTTGATGTACAAGTTGCACAGCGGTGCTGTGGCAAGGATAAGAAACATCCTCAGCTGACCCAGCTGTAACTCTCAGGTCTGGGGAAGAGTGTGTGGGAAGGCCAGGGCACTGGGCCCTCCCACCAGGCGCTGTGTGGCCCTGGCCAGGTCACTGGCTGCCATCTCTCTCCAGACCACATGGAAGGGGCAGCAGTGATCCCTGGTGCCTTCGGCCCTGGAATCCTGGACTTAAGGCATATCAAGAAGGCAGGTGTGACCTGGGGCCTGGGTTGTTTCTCAGGGTGTGATCAGAGTCCATTTGCTGGAGGCTGAGAAGCTGGTGCAGAAGGACAATTTCCTAGGGCTCGGAGGCAAGTCAGACCCCTACGCCAAAGTGAGCATTGGCCTGCAGCACTGCCGGAGCAGGACCATCTACAAGAACCTGAACCCCATCTGGAATGAAGTGTTTGAGGTGAGGTTCACTGCATAGGCAGTTACGCCCACAGCTTCAGCCTTCCCAGTTGCCGGGGGGTAGGGGTGGGACCCACAGCCTACCAGTCACATGTTTCAGGGCCACTTGCTTGCGGCCCCCTTCCTTAGAACATCATCTACACGCTTTGTTACATCTGGTCCCAGGCAATGAAAGCAGGCGAGGAAAGGGCAGCTTAGTTTCCTGGTGTCCCACAGCCCCCAGGTGAGGAGAATGTGACAGCCCAAGGCAGGGCAGATAGCAACCAGCGTCCTCTGGGCACCGTGCTATGGAGTGCTTGTGTTGTCTCTGGTTACCCACAGGGGAGGGGTATTGCTTCCTTATAGACAGGGCCCTCAGCTGGGCTTTGGCAGTCTGTGGGTTGCAGGGTCTGATTCAGCAGTCAAGACCTGCTGGGCAAGATGCTTCTCTGTCCTTGCAGTTCATGGTGTATGAAGTGCCTGGGCAGGACCTGGAGGTGGACCTGTATGACGAGGACACTGACAAGGATGACTTCCTGGGCAGGTGAGGAGTGGGGATGCGGGCTTTGGAGCATCTTCTCTGCTTGGGCTACAAGGCTGGGCCTTGGAGCATTTACAAGGCACAGGCCCTCACTGCTTAGTGACCTTCAGCCCCCTATGGCCACTGTGACAGAAGTGATGGTACCAGGCCATCTGCCCCGGCATTCTATAGTCCTGTTAGAAACCTCCCCAGGGCTCTCTAGCCCTGGCATGGGACCTGGAGGAGATCGGAAGTACAGAGAGGACCCAGGGCTCATGTCCCCACTGAGAATCTACCCAGAGTCCCATTTAGAACCGGGAGCAAAGTGACATGATGAGTAGGTACTCATCTCCAAGGAACCTTGTTCATTTCCCCATGTGCTAAAACCCAGAACTCAAGGCTATAGATGGATTGACGTGACCCCTGTGGGGCTGGTCAGCACAATCTCAAGACTTAAATAGTCTAGACAAGCCCCGCCTCCAGGAACTACCTATAAAGACACTAGCCCCTATGCTTACTGCCAAAGTCTCTGTGGCCTCATAACACCCTCCCACGGAAGGTACTAGCTGAACATTTGAAAAATCTACCTTTCTGTACAAAAACTTCGATGCAGAGCTTATGTAAGTGACTGGGGACATCACCGTGTTCTAGCAAGGAGGGGAGGAGAGCCACAGTGCAGCTGGATCCAGCCCCCCAGAAGAGGACGGAGGGTGCATTTGTGCCTGTGAGCAGAGGGGTGACATGGAGCAGGAGACAGGAGGAACAGCTTTCACGCTGTATGGCCCTGCAGTGTGCAGCTCGTTTCCCTGACTGTGGAGTTGTAACAAGCACAAACATGACCACGTAAATGGAAGACAGAGCGCAGTGCCAGGTGCCACCGCCGCCGCCGCTCATTTCTAGTTTCTCGGTGGTGAGGTTTGTGGTACTTGCCTTCCAGGGCTGAGCTCAGGTACATGCAGGAGGCATGCACACTTCTGAGTCACACGGGAACTGCACCCTCCCTCCCGCTGGCAGGACCTGCGGGTTGGGGTTTGGCTTGTGATAGGCTAGGGGGACACTGTGACGTGGGACCTCCCGGCTTTCTCACGTGCGTCATCTGTTGTTGTCACCTACATGACACTGGCACCAGTTACTGCTGCCTACCGGGCACTGGTACCAGTTTTCAAGTCACAGGGGCATCTGACTGTTAAAGTGCCTCTGACATTTAGAGGGCACAGGTCCAGCCAGGAAGCCAAATTCCTGTGATGCATGAGCAATTTTGCACAATGAAGAATTACCCCACTAAAAGCCAACAGCAGCATTGTTGAAAAAGCCCAGAGGTGATGTACCCAGACCTCCGCTTGCCCTCTCTGGGGCCAGGAGCCACGTCCTCCCCACAGCATAGGTCTGATGGAGCGATCCTGGAGGTTAGTCAGCCCTTCCTTCTCTTGAGCTGCAGTTGGTCTCCCACAGTTTACCACTGTCCCAGTGGCCTCATTCAGTCATTTGAGAACACAGTCCAGTGTGGGCCCCAGAGCCGCCTCTGCCACCGTTGTGCTCACTCTCTCTCTCTCTCTCTCTCTCTCTCTCTCTGTCTTCCAGCCTGCAGATCTGCCTCGGCGATGTCATGACGAACAGAGTGGTGGATGAGGTAGATGTGGCACACCCAGACCCCGGGGGTTTCTAGCGACACCCCTTTCGGTGCACGGCTCTAGCAGGTCACTTCAGCCATCTGGTCCTTTGCAACGGGTCTCCTCTGTGCTGGGCTGGCCACATGCCCATTCTCAGGGACAAGAGTTGGATGAGGCCCACATGGCTCTAGGGAGCCCACTATGGTTGGAGTTAGGAATTCCCTTGGAGAAATATCCAGCAAATAGGGAAACTCGGCAATGGAGTCACATTATAGAGGAACATAGGCTGGATCTGGGTTTTACTGTCCCGAAGTGTAGGACTTTTCTCCCCACATCTGCCAGTCCCACTGAGTCTGTGCTGTGCCCTCTTTGGGTTGGCTAACCTTTCCCCTAGTCTCAAGACTAAGCAGCCCCCAAATCGTCGGTAGCACACCTCTGCCCCTGAGCTTTCCCTTCCTTCTCTGGACCCACAGTGGTTTGTCCTGAATGACACAACCAGCGGGAGGCTGCACCTGCGGCTGGAGTGGCTTTCCCTGCTCACTGACCAGGAAGCGCTGATGGAGGTGAGAGGGAGGATTGTTGGGGTGAGGGTGGGGGACACTGGTTTCTACCTAATGTGTGCAAGTGGAGGAGAAGAGGAAGAGAGTCCATTTCTGCGTAATGGTTCAAATAAAGACAGGAAAGGAGATAACCCCACTCCTACCTGCTGTGTTCACGCAGAGGCACAGAAGGGGGAAGCCGCCATTTGCTGCGCTGTCTCCCAGAGAACATGTCACTCAGGCACTTCTCTCCACCGGGGCAGCTCATCTCAGTAAACAGCCTCCGAACTTCAGTCATTTTCAGGAGAGATGGGGTCCTTAGAGCTCTGAGTTTGGACCTGTCACCAAGTTTCATAGGGACACCTACCTTTGTCTAACTCGAACCTATCCTGCTGTGGATTTTCTCAGCCAATGTAAAGTTAGGTTGTTAGCATGAGGGCAGCCTGGCTTCCTTCTGCCCTGAGCAGATGTCTGATTCCGGGAGTGTCCAGTGAGGGCTGTGTCTGTTTGCAGGACCACAGTGGCCTCTCCACCGCCATCCTCGTGGTCTACTTAGAAAATGCCTGCAACCTGCCGGTGAGTCACGGTGCACCTCTGCCTTGCGCTCAGCACTGCCAAATGCCCATGTGTTGCTTTAACCCCAGTTCTTGTGCTGCAGAGAAACCCTTTTGACTACCTGAATGGTGAATATCGAGCCAAAAAACTCTCCAGGTTTGCCAAGGTTAGTGACCGTAGCTTGAGACCCTGACTCCTTTTCCCTGAAGCAACTACAGCCTGGGCCTGCCTGTCACACAGCCTGAGATCACTGGGTGTAGAGAGCCAGATACTAGGCTTAGCAATTTATTTTCAGCCACTGTCCTGGAGTCCTGGAGTGATATAGTCCAGGTTTTCTTACTATTTGGGGTGGGAGTGTTGCCATTCTATAAAAAGGATCCAGAAGGTGTAGGGCCTGTACATAGTGGAACAGAATTTGTTTCCAGTTTGGCCTCTGGTCTGCAGCTTGGGGTTCCACCCCAGGGGTAGTCCTGCACAGTGCTCATGCCATAGTGCCGCCTTGGACACCAGGCAGCTTTTTCCCCAACAGGAGGCACTGGCTACTCTACAACCCACTGATATATCTGGGGGAGGTACAAGAATGGGGAGGAGTGGTAGGCTGTCTTGGACCCACCCTGAAAATAGTACTTTCAACATTACAGAATAAGGCCAGCAGAGACCCTTCTTCATATGTGAAGCTATCTGTAGGCAAGAAGACCTTTACAAGTAAGGTAAGACAGTTAAGTGTGGGCCCGAAATAAGGAAATGGAGCTCCTACCCCTTTTAAGGAGAGACGGTGAAAGGAGCTCTCTCATGCTGATCACTTAGAAAGCCTTTGGAATCCCTTCCCTACGTGGCTTTATCATTCAAGACCTCAAAACTGTGGTGGTAAAGGGACTCCATCAAGAACTGGCCAGTAGAGTTAGGGTTTACCTTGGAGCACGGTCTGAAGCCATGCCTTTTCTGCCACGCTGACCGTCCCCAGCCTCCTCACAGCAGCTGGGGCCACACTGAGCAGAGCATGTCCAAGCTGACCTTCAGACCATCTCTCCCTTTTCTGTTCTCAGACCTGTCCCCACAGCAAGGACCCTGTGTGGAGCCAGGTGTTCCCCTTCTTCGTGCACAGTGTGGCAGCTGAGCAGCTCTGCCTGAAGGTTTGTTTGCTTGAAGCTGGGCCCTGGGGACAACTGGGAGAGAGTTTTCTGTGTAGCCCAGGCAGTTCCAGCAGTCAGCCTCCTTGGGTGTGGGAGCGAATGAGGCCCCACAAACCCTCAGCCCCTTAAGGCCGGTGCCCGAGGCCACCACATAGGAGACTGTGGGAAGACAAACCATTAAGTCCTTCAGACCCTACAGTCTTACAATTGATCTTTACAATTACACAAGGGTCCTGTGCTCGAGGCTAACCTTTACAAAAGCCCTGCAGACATACCACCTTTTCACATGAGCAAATAGAGGCCAAAGCAGCCATCTGCCCAAGAGCTCATAGTCAACAGGTGGTTAAGCTCGGTAAGATCTTTTTGGAGTCGGTAACTAAGCCTAAACGTCCTATCCTACAGTAGCACAATAGACCCACTGGCCCTGGGTGTATGCCAGCCTGGCCTCGCGCAGACCACAATCACCTCTACTCTCAGTCACTTTCTTCCCTAGGTTCTAGGCAGGCACAAGGTCTGGCCTGTTCCCATTCCCACTAGATGCTAACCGTTGCATACTTGTTGAGTAAGCCCACTCACCAGGACCAGAAGGCAGTGGTAGCATTGTGGGCCCAGCTCTCCCCTCATTCTGTGGCTGACCCACTTCCCAGGTGCTGGATGACGACCTGGAGTGTGCTCTGGGGGTGCTGGAGTTTCCCCTGTGCCAGATCCTCCCCTGTGCTGACCTCACCCTTGAGCAGCGCTTCCAGCTGGATCACTCAGGCCTGGACAGCCTCATCTCCATGAAGCTGGTGCTTCGGGTAAATACCTCCTGTCTCAGTGGGTGGGGCTGGGGTGCCCAGCACTGAGCACCTGCTGAATGTAAAAGCCAGGAGAGAGGCTTATGTCGTCATCTACTCATTGGGTCAATGTATCAAAGATAACCTCAGAGAGTTCCTTCCTTGATGTTGTATTAAGGAGTGAAAGCTTAAACAGGCTAAGTACACAGTAGGATAGCAGGTTAAGTACAGTCTTAAATGATCTCAAGGGATATTAACTTTGCTGTGAGGTCTGCCAAAAATTCAGTCTCTTTGGGGCCAAGAGATGTTTCCACAAAATTGTACCAGCCATCAACTCTTTGCTGGTCCAAACGCTGCCTCTCCCATTTGTTTAATCCTTCCTTCTAGAATTTCTATGCTAGCCTTTTTTTCTATCCTTGACCCATGCCAACACACTATCCCCTGGCTCTTTCATGCACCAGCTCCAGACCTTACCTTCAATTCCCAGCTAACCTCCTCAGAATCATCTTCCTAATCACTGCCTTTTTACTGTTTTTCAGTATGGTTTTTATTTCAATAGTGATTTTTTTTTTCATCTTTAATTTCATCCCTTCCAAATCCATGTGGTCTTTTTCATGTCTACATTACCATTCCATCTTTAGTCATTTGAAATGTTTACATTGTAATCTGTTAACTCTGTTCTGAAGATCTTGAGGGTTTAGGAGTAAATTTGTTTTTCCACATTAGATGTTGGGATATCATACAAAGCTTGAGGGAAGAGACATTTTACACCCGTGAGACACCCAGTCTTCACACTATGAGTCACAAGCAGCCCCTGGGAGTGAATTTTGCTGTTTAGCTTGTGTTTTCAGGGTGACTCTTCTGTGATTGTTGTAAATGTGTTCAGTGTTCCTTGATGGTACAGATCAAGGCTGCTCTCTGCTGGGGAGGTTTAGTTTTGCTCCAGTAGAGTACCACATGGCATTACAAACCTGGATCCATTGTCACATTAATTTTAACAGTTTTTAAAATCCATAGTAAGTCTGAGTATGAACCAGAAAGTCTTGAGGACAGGTCTCTCAGATGGCATGTTTCAGAAAGACTTTCCCCCAAACTAAACACAAGCTGAAAGACACGTTTCGTTGTTTTTGCTGCTTGGTGTAAGTTTTATTCTAGATTACTTTTATTACTAAAGAGATTTCAGTCCCGTGTTTAATTCTGGGAATGAATTCCCTAGGAAGGGGCTTATTGATTGACAACTGAGGAAAAAGGGGGAGGAGAGAGGTGGTAAGTCCGGGTTGTAAACAACCCTGTCATCTGCTTCCAGTTCTTACGAGTGGAGGAACGAGAGCTGGGAAGCCCATACACTGGACCCGAAGCTCTAAAGAAAGGGCCTCTGTTCATCAAGAAGGTGGCCACCAGCCAAGGTCACAAAGCTCCACCCCAGGAAAAAGGCCCTGAAGATGTGACCTGCGCCTCAGACCCTGCCTCTGACATCAAGGGAGCCTCCAAGGGCACTGATGCCGCCATTGTTGCCACCCCAGCCCCTGAGCCTCAGCCCCAAGAGACAGGCTTGGAGCCCAAAGGCAAGGACAGTGCCAAAGAGCCCTGTGAGCCCACGGGGAAGAAGAGGAGCTCAACTACCATCTTTCTGACTGTCCCAGGCCCCCACTCTCCAGGGCCTATCAAGTCACCCAGACCCATGAGCCGCCCTGCCCTCCCATTCGTATGGCCACCCACGAGGGTGGCTCCCAGCATGTCATCACTCAACTCCCTGGCCTCTTCCTGCTTTGACCTGGCAGATGTCAGCCTCGACATTGAGTATGCATCTCTCTGCTTGATCTTTTCTAAAATAACTTGCATGAAAAGTAGGTCCTTGCATGGAGAAGTAGATAGGAATTTGCCAACCTGATCAAGTTTAGGTTTCTCAGAAAATGTCTTTGCAAGAGGCAGCTTGGACCAATAGGAAGAATACAGAATACGGGGGATGAGAGGAGCCCTACTGTTGGCTTAAAACTCTGGCTACATACACTTCAGTTGCTAAGGTCCTTCCATAAAAACAGTTCCTGGATTCTTAGTGTGATAAATGAAAAGTTTAGAATGTGGATTTACATAAATGGCCACCATGTATTAAGTGCTTCCTATGGACTTAGCATGTCATCTGATCTAGCTCAGTCTTTGTCCCTACAAGACAGACAAGACCATTATAAAATCCCAGTTCCCTCAAGCCCTTCGAGCAACCATGACATAAGGACCAGGCCACTGCAGGGTGTGGCCATGCTTTCTACTGAGAATTAGGATAATTACACCGAGTGCCGGGTGGAACCCTGAAGAGAATTACTGACCCAGATGAGTCTGTTTTCATCACATTGGGCATTCTCTGAATTCAGATGAAGGAGTTCTTACAGTGACAGGCCCCTTTGCTTACAGAAACGGGGATCCCAGGCAGCGACGGCTGGGTGAGATTCAGCTTACGGTGCGCTATGTGTGTCTTCGACACTGTCTGAGGGTGCTAGTCAACGGCTGCAGGTAACGAGATTCTGGGAGCAGAGATGTCCTTTGGAAGGGTCAGGTGACCATAGAGCAGGGTGCTCAGGGGGAATGGCAGGAGCATGTACTCCTAAGTGACATTTGAGGACACACAGCCATGGGTGGCAAAAATCCTCAAAGGGACATGTTGAGTGGCCCTTCTTTGTTGGTGCTGACGGGCTCATGAGTCAAGGGCTTTGCTCAGATACTACTGAGCTACTGTTCCAGGGGTGGCCAATGGCAAGTAGGTCTTCCTAAGCAGAAAACACCAACTTCCTTCGGTATAGAATACTTGGCTCCATCGCAGACAGCACAAAAATGTTAAAAAACACAGCTGGCATCCTTTAATTCTGCAGGCTTTTGCCTTTGTTTGTCTAGAGTACAGAGGATTTAATCCTCCAGCCCATCTAATCCCTAGTGGCTGCTACAGCCTTCTCCTAAATGACTACTTTCAATGTGTAAAAACCAGGGACCTTTTTCTCTGCGCATCAGGAACCTGACACCATGTACCAGCAGCGGAGCTGACCCCTATGTTCGCATCTACCTGTTGCCAGAAAGGAGATGGGCAAGCCGAAAGAAGACCTCAATAAAGCGGAAGACCCTGGAGCCCCTGTTTGATGAGACGTGAGGAGGGTGGGGCTTAGCAAACCTCACTCATTCTCATAGTACTGACTATCAAGCACTGGTGATGTGCTGGAGCTTGCCCGATATGGGGGTGGGAGGGGAGGGTGCTGGGCTGAAGAGGACGATGTGATCTGACCTTTTTAGTGGGAAAAAGAGCTGCTAGGGCAATTTATCCAAAACTGTGATCAAGGCTACCCACACTTGCTGTCCTTAGAGGAGAAAATGTTCCCACTGGTGGAACAGCATATATTCTTTCTCTCAGCTCTCTGGCCTGTCCTTCCTTCTACAACAGGTGAGAGAGACCCTTTATCTTCGTCCATGTATTTGAGGATAACACGGATAGGAGGGCTGTAAGCACATTTCTTGCTTTTGATGATAGAATCCAGTAGTAGCAAGTCTTTTAAAAAGTTTTCTTATGTGCAGCAGTGCCTCCGGAGTCCAGAGAGGATGTTGGAGCCTCTGGAGCTGCAGTTACAGAGGGTCTTGAGCCGCTTGATGTGGGTGCTGGGAACTGGGCTCAAATCTTCTGCAAGACCAGCAGGTGCTCTTAACCACTGAGCTATTGTATCCTCCTCTGCTTTGCAGCCCTAAGAGAAGACATTTCTAGCTAAGTTGGGAACATGACTTTACTTTTCTTATTTTAACCAATCATAACTATTCTAAGAGGCTGGAACTGAGTCCTCTTTGGTCCACGTCTATCTTCATTGAAAAAGACTACAAGAAAGCTTATCCAGCATACACTGAACACCATCCCAGGCACGTCATCCTATAGTCACACAAGTGGGCTATTCTTTGAAGGAGAACACTGACACACTCATACAAAGATGTTAAAATGGCCACAGCAGAACACAGGAGGGAGTTTAACACCCAACTATCAAGACACTCTGTTAGTAATTCTTCGTGGGTTAGCTGAAGGCAAACTGAGCAGACCCCAGCCTAAAGAAAAACGTAGAAGTAAGGTTCCTGGGCCTCTGATGAGTCATGACAAAGCTGGTATACAGTCTTCTGAGGGAAGACAATCAGTCTTTTCTGTAAGCCTACTTTACGAGCATCCTGATCCACTGCTGTCAGAACAGAGAGGGGTGAGTTATTCTTCTGAGCAGGTGCAGATGAGGGGAGCAGCGAAGCTGCAGTCACTGTGGAGTTGGGACACAACTTGACACACTCCAAAAAGCAGCCATCTGAAAGCCCTGTCTCAGGCAGTCTCTTGACACTGCCTGGATCCTGCAAGAAAGCTCATCCAACATACATGAACATACATGTGATGAAGATGCATGGAGAGCTGAGGAGCCAGCTCTTGTAGCGGGGAAGTGGAAGAAAGACTGTTTTCAACAAAAGTAACTGCATGTAAATCTCATTTCTAATGTTTTGACTTTTAAAGGTTTGAATTTTTTGTTCCCATGGAAGAAGTACAGAAGAGGTCATTGGATGTAGCCGTGAAGAATAGTAGGCCTCTTGGCTCACATAGAAGGAAGGAGTTGGGAAAAGTGAGTAGTCTGCATTCCCTTATGTCCTAACACCTTATGGAATGGTGCAGGCTCTTACTAGAACTGACTGTAAGGAGGGGCAGCCTTCTTGAAAGGATGTTTTGTTTTTATCTTCTTCAGACCGAATATAGAAATATAAATGAGTGTATAGACATTATTTTAACCTTGAAAATAGCCAAATTCAATATTCCATAAGTACATAGCATCTACTCTGGTATTACATATTGGTTATTTATTTTTTTTAATAAACAAACAGATCATTTGGATAGCATTAGGTCAAGGTTTCTGTGTTAACAGAATTTTATCTAAAAGTAGAGGAAACATAATCCCAGGAGTGTGCCAAGACTCCTGCATGGCATTCATACAGTACCGTAGTTTTATTTTTAATAACTACCTTCTGTACGCACCTCTGTAATGCCTACTTCTACGAAACTGACAGTATTTTATGCCCATGAAGCAGATGTTATTATGCTTACTTTTAAGGTTAAGTTTTCTTTTTTAATAACATTCATAAGGCAACTTGAAAGTTAAAATGTCTATTATTCTTGAAGATAGTCTTTGAATATCTCAAGTTCATGTTCCAAACATGAACTGCTTTTGTTCTGTTTTGAAAACAGGGTCTTACTATGCAGCTCTGGCTGGCCTAGAACTCAGTGTGTAGACCAGGCTGGCCTTAAACTCAGTTCCACCTGCCACCCAGTACTGCCTCCTGAGTGCAGGATAGGAATAGTTATTTCTAAAATGCTGGGGTCAGTGTTTGCATTCTCTCTGGAAAGGGAAGAAAAATGGATGGGTTGTATAGGGGTTCAGAGAGCCCCAGCCACAGCTGAGGAGCTATTGGCAGTTAATAGAAGCTGAGAGAGGGACAGTCAATCTTCTGTTGGGGCCTGGCCACTGGTAGGTTGCCATACTATGCACAAATGAACAGCACTAATTAATTAGATTTACTGGATCATTAAAAAAAAAAAAAGGACATGAGGTTGGGAAGTGGGCATATGTAGTGCTCTGCTGGGAGCTGGAGGAGGAAAATGGGGCATGTGGAACACAATTGTATTTAACTGTATGTATGTATGTATGTATGAGACTCTCAAGAATAAATTGTTTTAAAAAGGAGAATCTCCTGCTGGAAATGGAGAGCCTTTATGCTCAGCCCAACTTACCCGAGAGTGTTCCCACTGAACCCAGCTTGGAAAAGCACTAACTATGTGTGTTGTTTAGGTGCTGATTGACTTATCAAAAGAAGATCTGATTAAGGGCTTTTCACAGTGGTGAGTGTGCTTTTCCTTTGTTAACTATGTAAGACACCATATCTTACACGGCTGCTCTGGTCCCCAGAATTCTTTCCCTCTTAGTATTATTTCAAATGCTTTGGTTACCAAAAAAGGAGACAAAGTAACCCCCTTTTCTTAGGTGTTACTGACTGTAGGTCTGCCTGAAGCCCTCTGTAACTGTAGCATTAACCCTGGCCAGCAACTCCCGGAAAGCGGGGTCTGGTGTCTCCACAGAGACCATGCTGCCTGTCTTGTTGCAGCCCACATTCTCATTACTAACACAAGTCAAAACCCAACTGTCTTCCAGGTATGAACTGACTCGAGATGGACAGCCCAGAAGCCAATGATGGATGAGCTGTTATCACCAATATGTTAGAAAGAGTAATATGTGCATTTTGTCATTTAAATCAGAACACACATTTGATGGGAGTGTGAACTGTATGAGCTCTGCATGACTGGATAGTAGAGCAAGAGCTATTTCTGTTAATTTGATTAATTCAAATCCACAAAGAGACTGTGGTATTTGTATTTAATGAGGCACCAAGACCTCAGTAGTGACTTTTCACTTTGGTGATTGTTTAGGCCTTGCCTGAAAGTATGCAAGAGAAAATGCCCTGTCCCCAACACGGGGTTGGTGGGGCTCTGTTTAGAGCAGCTACCAGCATTCTTGGGCAGTTTCTGACCAAAGGAAGGTATTCTTTTGTGGAAATAAAAAGTGGCCAAAATTAAAACCAGAGCTAACACTGCTGGAGACCTTCTAGGTGCTGCCTGATGCTTGGAAGCCTAGCATTTGCCCTAGTTCTGATCTGGAGCTACAGTGTATTTCCCACTGTGTTAGAGTGTTAGAGTGATATCCTTAAGTATACCGAGTTAAATGCTCTGGGAAAGCCTAGGGACAAACCTCTGGCATGTGACATTATTTCCACAGGAAGAATTAAGCCCAGTCCCAAGTCTACGTCTGAACTCTGGGTGCTTGAGGCTGCAGAACAGTCACTTCCTAGGAGGAAGGGGCTTTCTGTATTTCTCTTAGACAAGTTTGGGACTTAGTCCTGCTGTTCCGACAAAAAGATGGGTCACCCAAATACACATGTTAAAAGGAAAATATGTAAATTGTATATTTAAACAAGTGCCTTTTACACATTTCAGTTTGTAAGACCAAATAGACTTTTTGTTCTCTGATGTTTCTAGGGTGATTGTCAAGGTCATATCCTCCTCACCTTTTACCCATTCAGACAACATTCCGTTTTCTTCATGTTCCTGTTGTCTTCAGTGATGCTGTTGTTTTTATTTCTTCTTCGTAGGGTATGAGCAGGGGAGAACATGTGTCATGGCACACATGTGGTTGGAGGACAACCTTGTGACAGAGTTAGCTCTAACCCTTTCCATAGGTTCTGGGCAGGCTGCCCCAGCAAAGCACTTTTACCGAGTGAGCTCCCTTCTCCCAGACCCTTCTCTGATACTCTTCTAAAGAATGCAATAGAGTTGAGTATGGTTGCGAATGTCTTTAGTCCTAGCACTGGGAGACAGAGGCAGGTGGACTCTGTGAGTTCCAGGCCAACCAAGGCTACAAAGTGTGATTGAATCTCAAAAAAAAAAAAAAAAAAAAGAGCAACATTCCATCTGGGCTTGGTGGCTCAACACCTATAATCCCAACCCCTGGGATGCCAAAGCTAGCCTGCCTAAACAAAAGATAACCTACAAGTTAGAGTAAACAGTATTGTTATTTGTTATTTATTATAGATTTATGTAATATATATTCATAGCTCTAACTCACCCATCAAATGTGAGATAGCCTGGTCTTTGGTTTCTGCTATTTACTCAGGTACAGATGTGTGTTCATTCAGCAGCATCCTGAGGACACAGAATAGTCCAGGTACTGTGCCACCTTTTCCAATGGCAGTCCGTACTGAAATGGCCTCTTCCTGTATAGCACCTCCCATTTAAACCATTCTCATTGTGGCTGGGAACATGCCTTTAATCCTAGCACTCAAGAGACAGAGCCAGGTGGATCTCTAAGTTTGAAGCCAGCCTGGTCTAGAGAGCGAGTCCCAGGACAGTCAGGGGTAAACAGAGAAACCCTATTTTGGAAAAAAACAATTATTAGTGTTATAATATTATTTTTAATGTTTACAAACTCTCTACTAGGTCATATACTAAACAACTACAATATCTTGTTTGATGATGTTTTAATTCATATCCCAATTGAACCACAGGCTACTTGATGTATAATAAAACATTTACAGATATTTCTATTTGTGTATGTTTCTATTTTTTGTGTGTGGAGAGAGAGACTAGGGGATGCCCCTTCCCCTTTTTCCTTTGGGATAGGATCTCACTGTCCAGGCTAGACTGGCTGGCCAGTGAACCCTAGGAATCCAAATCTCCAAGCTCCCCAGGGCTGGGAGCACAGATGCACAACCGTACCTGCTGTTGTTGTTATTGTTTTGTTTATTAATGCAAGTTCTGAGGCTCAAACTCAGATCCTTGTATTTGCAAGACATACTTTTCTGAGCCAACTCCTTAAACTGATATTTCTATTTTAAATAACAAAGTGTCACAATAAAGTATGGCGGTTTAATCCTACGTTACCTCATGATGACACTCACTGCAATTTCTCTCCAAATAGACAAGTATCATGAAAATGGAAAAACACTAACGAGAAAGGAATATATCATAAACATATTAGCCACCCTAAAGCTGGTGGCAGCAGATAGGAAAAAACACGTAAGAACTGGTATGTTACTTACTTTTTTTGTTGCTGTCGTAAAACACCATGGCTGGGGCTGGAGAGATGGCTCAGAGGTTAAGAGCACTGGCTGTTCTTCCAAAGGCCCTGAGTTCAATTCCCAGTGATCACCTGGTGGCTCACAACCATCTATAATGAGATCTGGCACATGCAGAATGTTGTATAAATAATAACTAAATAAATCTTTAAAAAAAAACTTGGTTAAAAAATAAAAAACACCATTGCCAAGTAACTTATAGAGTTCATTTTAGTTCATGGTTCTAGAGCATTCCATAATGACAGGGAGCAGCGTGGACGCAGACAGCAGGTATGGTGGCAGGAACGAGCAGCTGAAAGTTCATATCTTAGACTGAGAGCACAAACCAGAAACCACGAACTACAAGTACACTGAGGCTTTCAGCTCTCAAAGCTGGATCCCAGTGACGTAACTTCCTTCAGCAAGGCCCTCAAACTGGTGACCAAGCATTTAAACATCTAGGCCTGTGGGGGACATTCTTATTCAGACAGTTAAACCTACCTAACCAATGCACATGGTCGATTTAAAAGTATCATAGGTGAAATTTCTAGTGATGTAAAGAGAAAAACTGAAGCAGTGTTCACGAGTTAAAGGAGGTTATAGCCTGGAAACCAAATTTTAGCATGCACCAGAGGACAGGCATCACATGAGGACAAGGACCAGTTAGCAACAGCATACAGAATAGCTACTCTCTGCTATTGTGTAGGGTCTGACAGTCTACACAAGCTGGTGTAAAAAACACCCTCAAACTTGAAAAAAAAAAAAAGATTTAGAACCTGAAATCCTGTGGAGCCTTAATAGCCAATCACAAAACTCACAGTTATGGTTGCTAGTAGACATGAAGCTTAGGGAACTGAATGATGGTCACAAGGTATCAGCAAGGAGAGCATGAAAATTGACATCTTAAAGTATTCAAGTCTTCATGGAAAAACTATAGATACAGTAAAACTAAAAATATATCCAGACATGATGGCACAGACCTTTACTCCCAGAACTTGGAAGACAGACAGGCAGATCTCTGAGTGGAAGGACAGTCTTGTCTACAAAGCAAGTTCCAGGACAGCCAGGGCTACACAGAGAAACCTTGTCTCAAAAAGAAAAACCAAACAAAAATATACAACTAGGGCTGTAGAAATGGCTCAGCAGCAAGAGCATGCATTGCTCTTACAGAGACCAGAGTTCAGTTCCCAGCGCCCCTGCTGAGTGGCTTACAACCACCTATAAGCTCGAGAGCAGCAGTTCTCAACCTGGGGATCAACCTTTGGGGACAATGACCCTTTCACAGGGTCATCCAAGACCACCAGAAATCACAGATATTCACATTCTAATTCATCACAACAGCAAAAATAGTTATGAAGTAGCAATGAAGAAATTGTATGGAAGGGGTCACCACAACACGAGCAACTGTGTATTATAAAGAGTACCAGCATTACAAAGGTTGCGAACCATGGTACTAGATGATCTGACACCCTCTGCTGGACTCCATGAGCACCTGCACTCACACATGCACATACTCCTTCCCCCCACATATATACAATTAGACATGCATCTTAAAATAGTCTTTTCACCTGTCCATTGGGGTAGCATCATAAAAATTACCATTATTCCTCTTCCTTAAGCATCTTCCTTCACCATTTCCCCTTTTAATAGTCAACCACTTTTTATTAGATCACCTACTCTAACATGTGTCTGAAAATTTGATCATGAAATAACCTCTGAGTCTGATTCCTTTCTCCCAACAGCATGCTTTTTGATGTCAGTCTCTGCTGTTGTAATTATTGACTATATTTTCCTTATTTTGGGAGTAGTATTCATAGATATCGACACTAAAATTGTCATTTCTTTTCCTGTTTGTGTCATTTAGACTGTTCATAGTGTGTCCTTATTGCTAATAAAGCTGCTATACACAAAAATATACATGGATGTATGGCAGGCTGTTGCTGACACAGGGCATGGCCGTGGTAACAGAGCCTGAGAACATGAGCTCTCAATGCGAGGATGGTCCGTTACTTTTACCTTTGAGCTTCAAATCAGCATCTCTGAGGTGGGCTTTTTGATGCTGGGCTCTAACAACAGAGTGATGGAGGGCTTTTGCAAGGAGAGAGAAGACAATGGTGAGCTTTTCTGTGATGAGAAGTTTTATTTAGCTGAATGGTTTGTGGGCACAGCTCATGCTCTCAGTCTCTGCCAGCACAGCCATGGCCCTCAGTGTTAGCAGCGGCTACATGGATTGAGTAGTCCTGAGGCAGCTGCACCTGAGGTCTGCGTCAGCCCTGCAGAGGTGCCTTGCTGTGGTTCTGAGCTCATTTTTCGTCTGCTGTCCCTTAGCTCTGGGAGTGTCAGCGTTCTCAACTTGCTGCTCAGGAACCTTAAGCATCTTCCTGCACCATTTCCCCTTTTAATAGTCAACCACCTTTTATTAGTTAGTAATGCTCATGTTTAGTTGCTTGTACAGTGTGGCTTCTGTCTACTGGATGACAAAGTATATATCCAAAATTTATGACGACCAGCAAAATAAAGCAATAAAAAAAAATCACAAGGCATGAAACTTTCAAATCAGTAATATAGAAGACCTTGTAAAGAAATAATAATCACTTTCCAGTAAGGAGAGAGGGTGCACAGAAAAACACAATACAAAATGCAAAGAGGATGATCAAAAGACCCCACTTATAACACAATAAAGTACACTGTGGAAAAATCTAGAATAGTTTAAAGTTAAGTGCAGCTATGCATGCTGCTTCAAAGAGAACTACTTAAAACATAGACAATAAAAATAAAAAGGATACTCTCGATTTTGCTTATATAAACAGTGGCAAACATCATGTTATGAAAAGGTTGCTTCTATTCAACCCCATGTCATAGCCCATGCTGTGAGGCAAGAAAGAAGCAAGCGTGTCTAACACAAACCACTTTTATATATAATGTGGCTAACTCAAAAACCACTAAGAAGTCTCTATTCACATTGTTATTAGCCACAAAAATTGCACTGCCTCAAGTTGCACAGTATGTAGCTCAAATGTTTATACACAGCACCTTCCCCCTACAACCTGGACATTTTAATTCTGGATATGTATGTATATATGTATGTATGTATATATATATATATTAGAAAATTTGTACACAAGTGCAGAGTATATCATATGTAAAATCTAAAATAATCTAAAGTTCACTTGCTTGAATTAACCTGAATGCTTTTAGTAAGACTGATGAACACAAATGGATTTTTAAATCAGTTGTAGCTGTGACCTATTAGGAAATGAAATCAAAATTGAAAAGATAATTTCTAAGTGAAGGAAGGCAGAGCCAAGGGAGCTACTTATATAGCCCCTGGCTTCAGGCTCAAGTGCATGATAGGGTGGAGTTAACCACCTCTACTCAACATCCAAACTTGTATCTGTGACATAAAAGCTACAAGAAGCACTGCCTTAGAGTTCCTATTGATGTGATGAAACACCATGACCAAAGAGCAAGCTGGGGGAAAAAAGAGTTTATTACAAGTTTATACTTGCTGTTCATCATTGAAGGAAGTTGAGCCAGGAACTCAGACAGCAAAGGAACCTGGAGGCAGGAGCTGATGCCAAGACCATGGAGGGTGCTGCCTTACAAAGGCTTGTCAGCCTGCTTTCTGATAGATGCCATGACCACCAGCCCAGGGATGGCACAACCCACAATGAACTGGGCCTCCTACCATCGGTCACGAATTGAGAAAACGCCTTACAGCTGGATCTCAAGGAGGCATTTCCTCAACCGAGTTTCCTTCCTCTCTGATGACTCTAGCTTGTGTCAAGTTGACACAAAATCAGTCAGTACAAGCATCCTTCTAGGAAGAGGCACATCAGGGCCTTTTATTTTAGTACTCGGACTAGGCATAGACTGCTTCTAACAGGACTCAATGCCTCACAGAGCACACCAGTCAAAGTACATCCAGACCCAAGACCACGCAGAGCTGAGAATGCTGCTCAGAGTGAGGTAACTTAGCAGATAAAAGTCATCCTGCACTGAGGAGGTTGACAAGATTTTGTGGGCAGCTTGGGACACTGTCAGCTACTTGAAAGGCAGAAAGAATGAGATGAATGGTAGAGAGTGTCCTGGAATGGTCAGTGGATGGATTACTGTACAAGGTGTAGGAGAAGCTCAAAAAGGTAGCTATGATGCACAGCTGTTATCAAGGACGACTTCAGAGGTTTAAATGCACTTATGAGTGCTGGACACTGTGCCAAGCCTAAGAGATTACACCCTGCGAAGGAAGGAGACTGGTGTAGTAAAGCATGTTGGGTCTCAATATCACCTACTCTGATGATGGATGGAAGTCTATGACATCAGAGTGGGATAGATTCCAGCATGAGAATCTCCCCAGACACTCAGCATTCCATATCACATCGCAATTGGTTCTGGGTTGCCAGGGACCAGTGGTCAGAAGAGAGCAGTCCCAGATGTGTCTCCTGCTGATCTTCAGATTTCTTGAGTCCCGTTTTTCATTTAGCCCCTGGCCAGATGTCCACTGGGAACTTCTATGCTGTTCTTCAGCCTGGCATGGGATCACTGAAGCCTCCAAGACCAACAAGAGAGAAGCCAGATCATAGCTGTGGAAGAAAGTGAGGAGACCCTCCACTGCTGGCATCCCTTCTCTTCCTTCCTCAGAATGCTAGGGTGAGTCAAGAGGGTTGGGTACCACACAGTACTGCTGGTGTACTTAAAAAAAAAAAAAAAAAAAAAAAAAGCAACTTATTTACATTTTTTTAATCTCTTTCTCCCTACTCCACCCCAATCCCTTCCAACACCCCAACACCAGATAGGAGAAAGAAAGGGTTAGTTGGAGAGGGGTCACAGTTCTCTTAGCTGCTTCCTGATGGTTAGGGTCATTGGGTTCCTTGGAGCCAGTCCAATCCTTGTTACAGGAAATCTCCAACTTCTTGTCTCACTGCATCAACAGCAACAGGAACCACAGGGGGGAAGTAGCAGCAGCCTTGTTATTTCTTGGAGCTACTGCATACTCTTGGAGCTCTGGATTTATTCTCTCCCTAGAGTCCTCAGATTTAAACTATCTGCAGCTTGCAAAGAGCTCCTCTCAGAGCCCACATGAGGCACTTTGTTGCTGTGGACCATCTGAATCAGTCCCACAGCCCACACCTGGGATTAAAACAAAAACATATTTATATCCACAACACAGTACAGTACTTGGTTTGTCTCCAAGATTTTCCCAAGGGAATTTTAAAACCTAAACCATTCACTCAGTGCTCACAGGAAGCTCCCAAACCACTCTCTCTCCCTCCTCCTTGGCACTCAAAAACTGAATTTTGTCAGTGGCTGGCTAGTCCCAAGGGCATACATAGGGCATGGGCCTAAGAAGACCAGCATATTCCTTTATGGCAAAGGGACTAAACATTTCTCTAGGTATTTGTGCCTGTCTTACCATTAGCTTTGAAAGAAAATGACACATATCCCTCTCCATTTAAACTGAGTGTATCTCACTGATTAAACCAGTTCAGGGAGTTCCCCTTTTCACACTGACAAGAATGAGAAAATGGAACAAGAAAGCATGTAGTCCTGACTCTGGAGCTATATAGGGTTCAGAGCAGACACTGAAATTTTTCTATGTACATAGAAGCAATTGCCCCTGAGATCCAGCAGCCTAGGTTTGGGATACATATGCTAGCACACTTTCACACGTGCATAAGGGCAGGAGCTAACAGCAGTGCAGTTCACCATGGCCAAGACCTGGGAACCACTCAAATGCCGATCCTCAGCATGGCAGCAAGGTGGATACTCTAGAGCCCTGAGAACAAATTGCTTAGATCAAGCACAGATGGGCACATAGCACAGCCTTAACACTGAACAAAAGAAATGTTAGACATATGGATACCATAATTACATTTTTGTAAAAACAGGTAAATATATTGATTCAGGCATGCTCATGAAAATCCCACAATTTTTAAAACTATGGAGGAAGTGATTGACATTAAAGTTAGGATGACAGTGACCTATGAAGCTTAGGAGGTATGAGATAGCTCTAGTTCTTGGATGGGTGTTTACTTTATAACCATTTAATTACACTTGGTATTTATAATTTCCACATATTTTAAAAGTTAGTATAATAAATAAATAAATAGTTGCTATTAAGATAAAATCAGGCTGGCAACATGGCTCAGTTGGTAAAGGCTAAATTTCGGTCCCTAGAACCCACAGGGTGGAAGGAGAGAACAAAGCCAGGAAGGGTAGTGCACACCTTTAATCCCAGTATTCAAGAGACAGATGCAGGTGGATGCCTATGAGTTCCTAATGACTTCCTGTCTTAAACAAAACTGTGATGATGACGATAATGATAAATAAAAATGACAAAAATTACATTCAAGGCAGTGAACATCAGTAGCAATAAAAGAATATTAAGATAATAAATCAATTACAATTTCTATGAACTTAGAAAATGAACTCAAATACATAGAATAAAATTTGGTCAATTTATATAGATTTTTAACATCTCCTAGAGACTGACAAAGCAAGCAGATAAAAAATGGTAGGAATACAGGTATCAACAACACGATAGCAAATGTACCCATAATAGAGGTTCAACTTTTAAAATAATATTTTAAAATATATTAAAGCTTTTAATATATATATATATATATAACATTAAAACGCATCTAAAATCACAAAGTCTGAACAAACTCTACTAAAGTCTCAATAGCAAAATACCATATTCTGTTGCTGTGATACACACATGGCCAAGGCAACCTATAGAAGAAATTTTACATTTACTTGGGCTTACAGTTGTAGCAGAATAAGAGCCCATCCTGGCGGCAAGCACAGCAGCAAGCAGCAGGCATGCTAGCAGGAAGCAAGCTGTTTTGAGTCATAAAATGCAAGCACAAGCAGAGAATGAACGGGGAGTGGAAAAAGCCTGCTAGTGATGTACTTCACGTAAGGCTCCACCTCCCAAAGGCTCCACAACTTCCACAGCCACACCAACTGGGGGTCAATTATTCAGATGGCTAAGGCTATGGCAGATGTCCTCGCAAACCACCACACCATTGCAGGCACACATACACACCAGAACTTACCGAATATTACACTTCATGTATACTTTCTGTTAATTATACATCAAAATTGCTTTCAAACAAATGTGTTTTAAATGCTTGTATTTACATAGTTCTATAGATAAAACTAGAAACGACTGTAGAACTTTTAAACAACTAAAATAGGAAAAGGTAGACATGATAGCAAGAACCTAAAACTATTCCTATCAAGGTGACTGTCCTTAATGGCCCTTGAAGCACCTCTAAAACCCTCCTGTCCTCTGAAAAAGGATTTAAGAACTTCTGCTTTAAAACAAGTGTTAACTGTGAGATTAAAACTAGCTGCCAAAATCTAGATTATTATACCCTTTCAAAGATTTTATTATGTGAGTACAGGCACCTATGGTGGTCTGAGGCAGGAGGCACTGGATCCCCTTAGACCTAGAGGCACAGGCAGCAGGGGGTCACCCAACATGGGTGCTAGGCACCAAACTATGATCCTCTGCAAAAATAATCACTCTTAACTGCTGAGCTGTCTCTCTAGCCAACCCCATCATAATCTTTCCACTGCATTTTTTTTTCTTTTGTTTTCAGATGTTGTTAAGGCCAGGTCTGGTGGTACATGCCTATAATGTTATCACTTGGAGGTGGTGGAAAGAAGCTCAGGAGTTCAAAGTTAGCTTTGGCTATAGTGAGTTCAAAGCCAACCTGGAATACAGGACAACCTGTCTCAAATGTGTCCATGCACATGAACATATTACAAGTGCAAGCACACACATTATACACATGGGCTAGAGAGATGGCTCAGTGGCTAAGAGTGCTCTTGCAGAGGACTGGAGTTCAGTTCCTAGTACCCAAATTGGTTTGTTCACAACCACAGGAAACTCCAGGGGATCCAGCACCCTTTTCCTGAACTCCGTGTGCACCTGCAAACACACATAATGTACACACACACACACACACACACACACACACTTTTAAAAATTAATAAAAGTAAATCCTTTTAAAAACTTTTTAAAGGACTTCCAATCCTCACAAAAACTTCTTGAGAGTAACTTAATCAATTCAGAATGAATAAGCAAATGCTGTTTCTAAACAACCTCATCATTCTACAGATTATGGACTAGTTACAGTGGTTTTTCAACCTTGTGAGTCACAACCATTTTGGTAGTCCCAATGACCCTTTCATAGAGATCACCTAAAATCATCGGAGAACACAAATATTCCATTATGGTTCATAACAGCAAAATTATGGTTATGAAGTAGCAGTGAAAATAATTTTATGGTTAGGGGTCACCACAACAGGAGGAAGTGAAATAAAGGGTTACAGCATTTGGAAAGTTGAGAACTACTGGGTTAGTTTTCAGAAATTTAACTATTGGTTAACAAAGCAAAGAATTTTAAAGTAAGAAGAATCCTAAGGTGGTATTCTATGTCATCAACAATTCATCTATCAAGCAGTATAAATGGCATTTATAAAAAGGAGGATATGGGTAGCCTAAAGTAGCTGGTACTCAAGGATGTGATGCAGAACCCTGCCCCCAAACCCCAAAATCAGCCAGGATGTTGAGAACAGACAGTAAGTAGAAGACATTAACAACAGGACTCTTTTGTAAAATGCAGTAAGCAGTGTCAGCCTGGGGAGAAAATATGGCTTGTTATTTGTGAGGCTTACAAATGAGCCACTAAGGAGGCTTACATTTGGAAATTCTTTACAAAAGCTTTATTTCTGGTCTTCTTTATAAAAGGACATTACATAGTACTGCAAATAAATACACAGAAAGACGTGTACCTAATCATCTATTTGACTTCATGATTAACTTCCTCTCTTAATACAAAGACAAAAAAAAACCTCTTCTCTCTTGGCTTCTTGCTTTGAAAGGGCAACAGCTGTAAGAGTATCTTAACAGAATATGCCCCTTAGTTCTTGCCTGGGGAGCAATGGCTTCCTATTGGTTGCGCTTAGAAAGCAACTGGGATTCTTTTTTCTCTGACCAAAAGGCCATTAAACCTTGAATTTAAATACAACTTTCTATAATTTGCAATCTCTCGCTCAGTCTTCTGTTACACACAATCGCTTCCTTAAAACCATTACATTTTAGAGCACCCAAGCATATAAATGATTATGGGATCTAAAGTTAATTTACTATTTTAATAACTTAATAGCTAATTTCTATTAAATAATAAAAAAATAAATATTATATGGATTGAGAATGACCCACTGGTAAGAGGATGAATTCTGAGAGCTGATCCATTTTAGAACCTTGTCTCAGGATTAGTCCTTTAAAATACTTTAAATGTTAAAAATGCAATTTACACAGTAACAATGATTTGACTTGTTTTCAGTATGAAAGTACTTTTAATTTCTTTACTGCAGGTACAATGGCATCCAAGTCATCAATTTCTGTAATAGAAAAAATGAGAATTATAAAGAGTAATTTTTTCTAGCGAAAAGCTCATAGAAATGAGAAGCTCTACACAGAAGTAAAATCAAATACAAGAGCAGCAGCAGCAGCAAGCGCTCTTGTGCAATGCAGTCTTCTCCAAGATCTGCGGTAGATGGCCCCTACCTCACACAAGTGTTTCACAGGCATCTGTGATGGCCCTTGGACCCTGGCATTATTAACACATCCAGTGGCTGCATTTATGAAACCCCGGTCCCTCTCTAAATCTCTGTACAGTTACATGTGTAAGCCAACATGGGTCCCAGCATGCATGACAGACAGACACAACTCTTTTCTGGGTCTCCACCTGAGGATTTAGGAATTGATTTCTCTGTTAAGAACAGTGTTCCTTCATGATTCTTTTGGTCTCAAAGTGGAGTGCTCTCAGGCCTTCTTCTGGGAGATTTATCCAGTAAGAGGTGTGTGAACACCTTAGAACAAGCGTTAGGGGTAGGGTTTATCCTGTTCTGGACTTCCAAAATGGTTCAGTTCTTTGGTGGATTCTTTCTAAGTTTGATTTTTCTTCTAAGGTATCAGACTTCAGTGAGCCTAAGCCAGAATTCACTTTCTAAAGCTCTTCTCTGAGGAAGAAAGTCCTCCCTTAGCCAGATACCATCCCCACTAGCAGGATCCAAGTGGCAGAGTCTACATTTTTCTAGCTTATTTTGCTTGGTCAATTATATATATATATATATATATACACACAATGCAGAGCCAAGAGTCTCACAAAATAATGCTATTTCTCATGAGACGGTAGCAAAACACGACAGTCCTACAGGGCTGGAGGGATGCTGGCTCAGCAGTTAAAGGCAGTTACCAGCAGTTACCTGCTGCTCTTGTAAGAGGACCTAGGTTACGTTCCCAGCATCAACAATACGTGACTGTCTGCAACTAGCTCCAGGGGATCCGGCCACCTCTTCTGGCCGCCACAGGCACCTGCTTTCGCATTCCGCACATGCATCCATGCAGGCCAACACTCATATAAAAATATTGAAAAAGGAAGAAAAAGATAGCTCCTATCTCCTCAGAGGCTGTTTTCTATTCTGAATCAACTCTGTGTGCAAGGCAGGTAGTACTTTCCAGACACTTTCCAAAGACCTAAAGTAAGACATGAACCAGTGCCTAAGAGCACCCCTCTCCTAGCCCCACTGACATCTTAAGATGAGAATTCAGCCACCAGTAACAGAGAGCTCACCTAAGAGTTGAAGAAGATCATTAGTAAAAGCTCGAAACGCTGGAAAAAATTCCTCATGTTCTTCCAATTTGTTTATAATGCTGTTTAAAAAATACACAAGTTTACAAAAGTCTGCAACTTAGGGTTTTGCATTTGTTAACAGATAGTTGCAGACATAACATTTTCAAAGTGAGAGGAAACTATTCTACTAAATTGAATATAAAGTTAATTATAGCAATCCTTCCTTTTTGAGATCTTTAATCATCTAATACCATTTTTTTCTTTTTTTAAAAAGCACCTTCTTCAGAGCACTAGCTAAAATAGGCTTTCTTACCCAGTATGCTATTAAACATTAAGTACTGGTGGTCAGTAAAAAAGAGTAGAAGGAGGGGAGAGACCAATAGTGAAAAACACCAAATATGAAAAAAAAATCTCAACTGCCAAGTTATATAAGGGCTCTTTCTGGAATACTTGCAGAATATATGGATAATATTATATATAATGTAACAAATATATGTGTTTCCTTATATTTTGCAATATAAAATTGGGAGTGAGAACTAGGAAAAGTTGCTGAAAGTATAACTACAATGTCTCAGGGGCTGAGAGCAGGGGTTACTGGAGAGAGAACCCTGAGTTTCATGCATAGTAAACACAAGCCCTACAGTCTATATCTACCTTAGCCCCAAAATTTATTTTTTTTAAATATCAGGTTTAAGGCATGGAGATAACCTAGAACCCCTGCACAGATGTAGCCCATGGCAGTTTAATGTCTAAGTGGGTTCCATAGTAATGGGAAGAGGGACTGCCTCGGACATAATCTGATTGGCCTGCTCTTTGATCACCTCCCCCTGAGGGGGGAGCAGCCTTACCAGGCCACAGAAGACATCAATTCAGCCACTCCTGATGTGATCTGATAGACTAAGATCAGAAGGAAGGAGAGGAGGACCTCCCTTATCAGTGGACTTGGGGAGGGGCATGCGTGAAGAAGGGGGAGGGAAGGTGGGACCGGGAGGGGAGGAGAGAGGGGCTTATGGGGGGGGATACAAAGTGAATAAAGTATAATTAATAAAATAAAATTTTAAAAATATATCAGGTTTATATTAATGGTACTTAGTCTTTTTTTAAATCCTTAATATTTATCCTCTAAACAAAAAGATATGATTAGCAATTATTAAGTAGTTTTGGTAGTGTTTCAGAAGTAAATTATAGGTTATAATCCAACTGAAGAATTGGTTATAATGATTTTAATTTCTCCATATGTAACTTTGTCTCAGGGTGAGGTTAGAGTTCCCAATAGCCTTATGTGAGCTTATGGGCCCCAATAATTTTTATGTTGAGTACAGGTGACATTGTCTCTATCCCGAAGGATGTATGACTCTTTTGGTTTATAAAGTTATTTTTAAAAGGTGTGGTAGCACACACTTTTGCTCCCAGCACACTGAAGGCAGAGGCAGGCAGATCTCTTTCTATACAGAGTTCCAGGACACCTGGACCCTGTTTCAAAAAAAAAAAAAAGTCACTCCAAACAAGGAAGGTAAGTAACACATAAAGCTTTGGAAGTCTTTACTCTTCACTATATCAAGTGTCTGGATACATTTCTAACAAATACCTTTGTAGGTCTTCAGGTCCTAATACTTTTTTAACCTGCTCATTCACCTCCTCCTTAATTATCTTACACAATTTTCCAACTGTGCTGACCACCACATACAATGAGGATGAACTGTCTGCAAAAGAGAAATGAAAGTATAGATGTTTAAATAACTTCCAAAATCATTACAGCCATCTAACACATCCTAGTTCAGTTACTTGTTTCATTTTTTTGTGGCAGAAAGGATTAAGATTCTTTTTTTTTAGTTTACACATCTGTGTGTCTGTGTGAGCATGTATGTGGGTGCGTGCACCCCTGAAAAGGCAGAGCCAGAAGAAAGATTGGGTATCTTCCTCTCACAACCTTTGCCCGTTTCTTTAAGACACACTATCTCCTTGAGCCTGGAGTGCACATTTTCTTGGCTAGGTTGGAAGCCAGAGGGCCTCAACAGCTCTCCTGTCTCCATTCTCCTCAGAGCTGGTAACAAGTATTCACAAGCATCTGGGTTGGGATCCTAACTCCGAACTCAGAGTTGATTGTAGACAGTGTGCTCTTAACTACTGAACCACTTCCCAGCCCTGGGGTGGTTGCTTTAAAGCCAGGGTCTCATGAATCCCAGGCTGACCTAGAAGTTGTTATGTATCAAAAAAATGATCTCCAACTTAAAAAAAAAAAGATTTATTTGCATGTATGTATGAATGTGTATGAATGTGTACATATATGCTTTTGCATACATGAAAACCAGAAAAGGGTGTTGAAGTCCTGAGGGCTGGAGTTACCAGAGATTTGGGGGATGTCTAGATTGTTACAGGGGTGCTGGAACATAAAACCCATTCTTTACAATTTACAGCAAGGGCTCTTAACCACATGTTGAGGTTTTTTTTAGTTTACACATGCTTGTGTGTCTGTGCAAGTATATATGCATGTATATGGTGTGTGCACCTCTGAAAAGGTAGAGGCCAAAGGCAGAGCCATCTCTCCAGCTGACACTGAACTTGTCATCCTCCTGCCTCTATCTCCTGAGGATGTGCACCACCATGTCCCGTTTATGCACTATTGAGAAGCAAACCCAGAGTTCATGCATGCTAAGCAAGCACTCTAACAGCTAAGCTATATCTCTGCCTCTGGTTTTCTTTATTTTGTTTGTTTGTTTGTTTTTTTAGTGTGTGTGTGTTTAATTAATAGGAGTTTTGTGGGGTCTGGTGGTACACACTAGTAATCTGAGCACTTGGGAGATGAGGGACAAAGATCAAGTTCAAGGCCAGCTTTGGCTACAGCAAGAGCAAGGAAAAACTCTCAACCCAACCCAACCCAACCCAACCCAACCCAACCCAACCCAACCCAAACCAAACCAAACCAAAAAAACCCAAAACCTAATTTTTGTTAATTTATTAGGAATAGTTCTTTTGTTGTTGTTGTTGTTTTAAGATTTATTTATTTATTATGTATACAATGTTCTGCCTGCACATACACATACCCACCAGAAGAGGGCACCAGATCTCATTATAGATGGTTGTGAGCTATCATGTGGTTGCTGGGAATTTAACTCAAGACCTTTGGAAGAGCAGCCAGTGCTCTTAACCTCTGAGCCATCTCTCCAGCCCAGGAATAGTTCTAAAATGAGTATCCCAAATCACAAAGGGTCATCACCTAATTCTAAGAGCTCCTGAATGTTTCTCATAGCGTTGTTCATCTCTCCGAGCCTGGTATATACTTCATTCATTCGGGGATAGACTCCGTTTAAAGACGGCACATCAAATAGTCTTTGGAAGTGAAAAACAATAGCTTGCAAAGTCTGAAAGTTTGGTGTGTTGCTGCTCTATATGAAGAAGGTAAAAAAGATAGTTGACAATTTGACATGTTGATTAGTTAATATAAACCTTTAAGATGAGAACAGTTATATCAATATCGAGTGTTACCTCTTTCTTGTTTTCAACTTCTTCCAACATGGTTTCTACCACCACCAACAGATCTTCTACTTTCACACCTTCATTTTCAGCTGTTTTCTTCAAATTATGCCAAGGTATCAGTTCTGCAGACAGCATTTTTAAGGACTTATACAAATCCTTTACAACAAAAGAAACTACATGGCATTACTGATTATAGTGTAGTTTATTCGATAACACCAGTAACATAGTAACCAAGGTGGTCGGATGATACATAGCTTTATAACCATCATTAGTATTTTTAAAATACCAATTTAAAACAAGTCTGAATTCTCTAAGCAATAATGTTATTTAAGTAATTATATTGTTTTTGTAAATTATTTTATTAGCACTGGAGATAACACAGGCCCTCACTCACATACACAAGGCAAAAGCTTTATACTGAGCCGTATCCCTAGCCTAGGTCTTAAATATTTTTGTAGTACTTTTGAAATGAAATTTATATACCAAGATACTAAGTATACAATTGGACAGTTTTCATCTTTTCACAGTGGTACAAAACACTATCACTGTCTAACCTCGGAATGTACCCCTTCTAAGAACTCCCATACCCACAGCTAGAGAGATGGAAAACAGTAAGAGCACTTGTTGGTCTTGCAGAAGACCCATGTTCAGTTCTCAGCATCCACTGATAATTCACAACCATTCATAACCCCAGTTCCAAAGAACCTAATACTCTCTCTTCTGACCTTCACAAGAACCAGACATGACTATGGTGCACAAACATACATACATAGAGGCAAAATGTTCATACATATAAGAAATTTTAATAATTAAAATTGAAAAAGTCCTACGCCCACTCAGGCCTTTCTAATCCTCTTCCTGCTGCTATGGATTTGTCTATTCTTGGCATTTTATGTAAATGAAATTATATAAGTGGCCAAATATTGACTGACAACTTTTGAGAATTGTCTGCATTTATTATTGATGGGAGTGTAAATTAGTACAGTCTTTGTGTAAAACAGAATATAGAGGTTCCTCAAAAAAAAAGATAACACTGCTACATAGACTAACAAAACTACATCCTATATATATGTATATATATATGTGTGTGTGTATACACACACACACACACACACATCAAATTAAAATGAAACTATGTCAAAGAGATGCCAGCTCTTACATATTTACTGAATTGCACTATTCAGAATTGCCAAGATACTAGATGTACAATGTCGGTGTCCAACGATAGATAAATGGCCAAAAACCCACCAGTGTACGTATGGGTCCGGAAATAAATGCACATGCACACAACTGGGTATTACAGCCATGAAAGGAGTGACACCTGTCGTTTACTACAACATGGAGAGAACCGAAAGACATTAAGTGAAATAACAGACACAAATACTATGTTCTTACTTATAGGTAAAAGTTTTAAAAGTTAGTCTCATGTGGTTACCAAAGCCTGAGAAGGGTTTGAGGAAGAAGGAATGGAGAGAGGATGGTTAAAATCACGGGGGTGCAGCTGGGTAAGAGAAATAATTTGTAACGTTCTATATCACAGTATGGTAACTAAAGCTCACAAAAATTAACTATTTTTAAATGGCTGAGAATTTTTGATGTTCTCAACACCGATCACTACTCACTACATAAATTGTCACTATCTCTCACATACATATAGTTACATGTTTTATTTATATGCCTTTAATCCCAGCACTGGAAGGCAGATGCAGTGGAACTCAATGAGTCAAGGTCACCCTGGTCTACATGAGTTCCAGGCTGGCCAGGTTTGCATAATGAAGTCTGTCTCAAAAAATAAATATGCAAAATAGAAGATTCTATAATATACATTGCTGTATTTCTTTTCCATTCATCTCTCAAACCCATCCTTCTCTTTTAGGTCACATCAGAGCTAAGGATAAAATGTTATCTAGGGAGATGCCTCTCCCAAACTAGAAAGTTGCTACATTATAAAGAACTTTCCATACTAGGCATCAAAGGACTTTATGTACTTTCAAAGATGCATCCCAAATCTGCAGTGTAAATATTAGAAGCACTACTGAAGGCCATGAGCTACCTCAGTGGCAGAAGTAATTAATTCTAGCCAGTTGCCTCAAGTGTCCTTATAATATTCTAAGTATAAAGCTAATTCCCTGCCTCCTGTTCAGAGAACTACACAGTGGTAAGAACTCAGTACTCTTGCTAAGCCTTTCTTGGGGGCTATGATCAAAGTGATCCCTTCTCTACCATACAATGGAGTACAAGTCATCCATATCATTACTCAGGAATCCATCTGTATTGCATCCATTTTTTCTAGTAATATACTGCATACTTATTTAAAATTTCACATTTGCATATATTTTGTCTGTCCAATTAGTCTGAATTTTATGTTCATATTTTTGTAATACTTTCCCACCTTAGAAAAATAACGCTATCTATGAATTTGGTTCATTGCTTTGTCTCCTTTTTCAACTAGTCTTAACCTTTTGTTAGAAAAGCAAAGGCTGCTTCTCATCTAACTCTCCTGAAAGAGAAAAGTAGGGTTAGCACTGTTATCTCCTACAGGGAGAACTGTGACAAGCAGTGAGTGGGAAATGCCACCATTTCCACAAGTCATCTCTATTTCACCCTTTTCTGAGAAACAAACTAAAGAAACGCGGGCACATAAAACAGTGTATTAATCCAGCACTGTCATTCAGTCAAAAATGCTTTATATTACATAGCTTTGTCTAAACTCTGAAGAACAAAGAAAATAAAAGTTAGGCTGAGTGCCAAGATTCTTCCATGAGTTGTATACGAGATATAATTTTGTAAGTTAAAAAAACTCAAGCCATGGGAGTTGCATTGAATCTTTAGATTGCTTTTGTCAGGATGGCCGTTTTCACTATGTTAACCCTACCGATCCATGAGCAGGGAGATCTTTCCATCTTCTGATATCTTCTTCAATTCCTTTCTTTAGAGACCTGAAGTTTTTTTTTCATACAGGTCTTTGACTTGCTTGGTTAGGGTCACACCAAGGTACTTTGTGGCTATTGTGAAGGGTGTTGTTTCCCTAATTTCTTTCTCAGCCCTTTTGTCTTTTGTATACAGGAAGGCTACTGATTTTCTTTTTTTTTTTTTTTTGAGTTAATTTTGTATCCAGCCACTTTGCTGAAGGTGTTTATCAGCTGAAGGAGTTCTGTGGTAGAATTTTTGGGGTCACTCAGGTATAGTATCATATCATCTGCAAATAATGATACTTTGACTTCTTCCTTTCCAATTTGTATTCCCTTGATCACCTTTAATTGTCTTATTGCTCTAGCTAGGACTTTCAGAACTATGTTGAAGAGATATGGAGAGAGTGGGCAGCCTTGCCTTGTCCCTTGAGATCCAGCTCCTAGGTATATATCCAAAATATGCTCAAGTTCACAACTAGGACATTTGTTCAACCATGTTTGTAGCAGCTTTATTCATAATAGCCAGAATCTGAAAACAACCCAGATGTCCCTCAATGGAGGAATGGATGCAGAAATTGTGGTACATTTACACAATGGAATACTACTCAGTAGCTATTAAAAACAAGGAAATCATGAAATTTGCAGGCAAATGGTGGGATCTAGAAAAGATCATCCTAAGTGAAGTATCCCAGAAGCAAAAAAGACACACACGGTATATAATCACTTTTAGTGGATACTAGACCTTTAATATAGGATAAATACTAAAATCTGTACACCTAAAGAAGCTAAACAAGGAGGATCCTGGGTAAGATGATCAATTCTCACTTAGAAAGACAAATGGGATGGACATTGGAAGAAGGAGACAACAGGAAACAGGACAGGAGCCTACCACAGAGGGCCTCTGAAAAAAACTCTACCCAGCAGGATATCAAAGCAGATGCTGATACTCATAACCAAACTTTGGGCAGAGTGCAGGGCATCATATGAAAGAAAGGGGAGTTAGTAAGCTTCTGAAAAGGACAGAAGCTCTACAAGGAGAACAAGAGAACCAAAATATCTGGGCACAGGGGTCTTTTCTGAGACTGATACTCCAAGGACCAAGGTCCATTCATGGATATAACCTAGAACCCATGCTCAGATGTAGCCCATGGCAGCTCAGTATCCAAAGTGGATTTCCTAGTAAGGGGAACAGGGACTGTCTCTGACATGAACTCAGTGGCTGGTTCTTTGACCACCACCCCTCCTAATGGAGGAGCACCTTGCCAGGCCACAGAGGAAGACACTACAGCCACTCCTGATGAGACCTGATAAGATAGGGTCAGATGGAAGGGGAAGAGGACCACCCCTATCAATGGACTTGGAGAGGGGCATGGAAGAAGATGAGGGAGGTAGAGTGGGATTGGGAGGAAACGAGGGAGGGGGTTACAGCTGGGACACATAGCGAATAAAATGTAATTAATGTAAAAAAAATAAAAGTTAAAATAAAAAACTCAAGTAGTGCACTCCTTTAATCCCAGCACTCAGGAGGCAGAGACAGATGGATCTCTGTGAGTTTGAGACTAGCCTGGTCTACAAAGCAAGTTCTAGGACAGCTAGGGCTACAACAGAGAAACCCTGTCTCAAAACAAAACAAAAGGGGGTTGGAGAGGTGGATCAGTGGTTAAGAGCACTGGCTGCTCTTCCAGAGGTCTTGAGTTCAATCAATTCCCAGCAACCACATGGTGGCTCACAACCATCTATAATGAGGTCTGGTGCCCTCTTCTGGCCTGCAGGTGTATAGGCAGACAGAACATTGTATAATAAATAAATAAAATTTTAAAACAAACAAACAAACAAAAACAACCCTCTAGTTGTCCAGGACTATAATTATTCAATCAAATGCGAATACATTTAATAGTTGGTTGTTGACTATAAACTTTTCTAAAGATTAGACAAAGAGAAATAATCTCAGTTCTGAGAAAGGAAAATAAAATGTGAAGACAGGGAAAATGTTCCCAATTAAGATGAAAACAAGACTAAAACATTGCATCTGAGCATGTGCAGAGACAGAGCACAGATATTAGTAGGAAGGAGATGCAGAATATGGAGGGGCTAAGATGAATCCTCTACAGATCTGAATGACAGAAAGTCTAAACATCTACAGTAGGATTTTAGAGAAGACAAGCTTATCAATGGCAACAAATTTATAGGATTAGAAATATGTAAGGCTGGACATAGTGGTACATGCTTTTAATTATAGCACTCAAGAGTCAGAAGCAGGTAGTTATCTGTGAATTCAAGGCCAGCCTGGTCTATATAGAACATCCCAGACCAGCCAGAACTACACAGTTAGCCTCTGTCTCAAAAACAAAACAGAACAAAATATATAAGCAGCAATATTCCAATTTTAGAAAAGTGTATTTTTTTAGCTTCACAGTTATGAACAAGGGCCAAGTTGAGCAGATTTTCAAAACATATAAAAAATATTCAGCTACTTACCTTTAAGGATGTCATTTCATCTGCCCACGTTTCTATTATAGGAATGAGGTGTTCAAATCCACAATCTTGAATATCTTTATTGAAGTTTTTAGCTCCTCCCTTACTCTGTGTGTAAATAATTACTGGAGCTCGTGGGTTGTGAATAATTGAATTGATGCTGCACAGCACCTGCAGACATGGACAGTTTTTGTAGTTAACATGTTTGTCTGAGCCTGACAAAGTGAGTAAGTGAAAGGACTGTGTCAGATGCCAAGAAAACATTTTCAGACATTTGTGAACACTGTGTTCACGCATTCTTAGCATAAATGCATAAATTCAAGGACAACTAAGTAAATTTTTAATAATTTATGTTTGAAAGCAGTTACTACTATAATCCACACATAATAATAACCATATAGATGTCCTTGCCTAAGTCTTCACATTTCCCTGTCTCTTCATATTTAAGCTAAGTATTGTACTAAAAGGGGCTTTTTATTTTTGTGAAAGTAAAGATAGTTACTAATAAAACCCCACACACTCTATAGAGAAGTCCAGGCCAGCCAGTGTAATAATTCTTTTTTTATTTATTTTTATTTTTATTTATTACAGTTTATTCACTTTTTATCCCCCCTATACCTCCCTCTCTCCTCTCCTCCCAATCCCACCCTCCCAGTTTCCCACCCGTGTCCCTCTCCCAGTCCACTGATAAAGGAGGTCCTCCCCCCTTCCCTCTGATCCTAGTCTATCAGTTCTCAACAGTAGTGACTACATTGTCTCTTTCTCTGTAGCCTGGCAAGGCTGTTCCCACCTCAGGGGGGAGGTGATAAAAGAACAGGCCAATCAGTTCTGTCAGAAACCATCCCTATCCCCATTACTATGGAACCCACTTGGATACTGAACTGCCATGGGCTAGCTCTGTGCAGGGGTTCCCGGCCATCTCCATGAGTGGTCCTTGGCTGTAGTCTCAGAAAAGATCCCTGTGCCCAGACTTTTTGGATCTGTTGCTCTTCTTGTGGAACTCCTGTCCTTTCCAGGTCTTACTATCTCCCACTTTTTAAAGTATTGGAGAGATCAGGGATACAAGGCACATACCTAAACATTGTAAAGGCGATATACAGCAAGCCTATAGCCAACATCAAACTAAATGGAGAGAAACTTAAAGCAATCCCAGTGAAATCAGGGACAAGACAATGCTGCCCACTCTCTCCATATCTCTTCAACATAGTTCTGAAAGTCCTTGCTAGAGCAATAAGACAACTAAAGGAGATCAAGGGAATACAAATTGGAAAGGAAGAAGTCAAAGTATCACTATTTGCAGATGATATGATAGTATACCTGAGTGACCCCAAAAATTCTACCACAGAACTCCTTCAGCTGATAAACACCTTCAGCAAAGTGGCTGGATACAAAATTAACTCAAAAAAAAAAAAAATCAGTAGCTTTTCTGTATACAAAAGACAAAAGGGCTGAGAAAGAAATTAGGGAAACAATACCCTTCACAATAGCCACAAAGTACCTTGGTGTGACCCTAACCAAGCAAGTCAAAGACTTGTATGAAAAAAACAAAAACAAAAACAAAAAAACTTCAAGTCTCTGAAGACAGAAATTGAAGAAGATATCAGAAGATGGAAAGATCTCACATGCTCATGGCTTGGCAGAATTAACATAGTGAAAACGGCCATCCTGACAAAAGCAATCTAAAGATTCAATGCAATTCCCATCAAATTACCAACACAATTCTTTACAGACCTGGAAAGAAAAATTCTCACCTTCATATGGAATAACAAGAAACCCAGAATTGCTAAAACAATCCACTACAATAAAAGATCTTCTGGACGTATCCCCATCCCTGATCTCAAGCTGTACTATAGAGCAACAGTAATAAAAACTGCATGGTACTGGCATAGAAACAGAATGGTGGATCAATGGAACCGAACAGAAGACCCAGAAATAAACCCATACACTTATGGACACCTGATTTTTGACAAAGATGCCAAAACCATTCAATGGAAAAAAGACAGCATCTTCAACAAATGGTGCTGGTCTAACTGGATGTTTACATGTAGAAAAATGAAAATAGATCCATACTTATCAAGTGGATCAAAGACCTCAATATAAAACCAGACACACTAAACCTGTTAGAATACAAAGTGGGGAAGAGCCTTGAACTCATTGCCACAGGAGACAACTTCCTGAACAGAACACCAACAGCAATAATTATTAACAAATGCTGTAAATCCCAGAGACAGGACTCTCTGAGAATCTGTCTAGGATTTCCAGAGTTAGGAGGAAACACTGCTGTTTTTGTCCAGGGAGAGCTATGACAAACAGGTGATCTGAGAATCTGACCTCTCATGCTGGCTTAGAAGCACGTGTTTGTCTTGTGTTCATTTATAAGTGTTTTAACATTCTACTTCTATTACAAACTCATCCATTAATATCAATTAATTTTAAAAAGTAATATTCTTCTCCAATATTTATGAATCAAAGTGGGGAAGATAGTCCTGCTTTTTGTTTTTTTTCCTCCCTGATACAACCGTCAGAAAGGTAGTGGGACTTGACACTGCCTGAGCTTCAGGAGATCAAAGCGCAGTTTCATTCACATCATCTTTAGATAGACATCTGCACATGTTCAGGTTATTTATGAAGATGACTGCAGCTATTTCTTGTCCTTGCTTTGTTGCATCTTTGCAACATGGCTTGCAGGTTCTCCCATCAAAATGTAGAGATGTTTTTTTACCCTTTGAATCTGGGCTGTTCTTGGGTATTGCTTTGGTACAGAGAATTTACTAAAAAGAATATTGTGCCAGTTTAGGTCTTTTTTAATTTTTTTATTAATCACAGTTTATTCACTTTGTATCCCAGCTCTAGCCCCATCTCTCACCCCCTCCTAACCCCACTCTACCTTCCTCTTCTCCTCCTATGCCCCTTCCACTGATAGGGGAGGTCGTCCTCCCCTTCCATCTGATCTTAGCCTATCAGGTCTCATCAGGACTGTCTTTCATTGTCTTCCTCTGTGGCCTGGTAAGGCTGCCCGCCCCCCCCCCCCTCAGGGGGAGGTGATCAAAGTAGCCAGCACTCAGGAGGAAACATAACAAAATTTAAACAACAAACAAACATCTGTCAATCTACCAAATGTCAAGAAAACCAAAAAGTAGAACAGAAAACCAAGTAAAAGCAGTAAGATGTCAACAATAAAAGTGAAGTAAGAGCTGCTCTCAACACTCACGATTAATTCTCTTTTAAACCAAGACTCTCAAACTGAGTCCTGAGAGCAAATGAAAGAACCCCAGTGACACACTCATAGAGAAAGAGCTAAAGTAAAAATTCTTACAAAGTTGAATGGATCTCATTCACAACGGAAAGTCACTAAATACCCAGAAAATAAACCTGACAGGAAATACACATGAACTAAATTTAAAATATGCAAAACTTTATGAAAGACTATAAAAGATCCCCATAATTAGAGATGTGTTTCTGAATGAGAGGATATAAAACCGTAAGTTATCATTTCTCCAAATATCAAATTAATTAAATCATATTTCAGTTCATCCTAATGAAATTTTATTTTAATAAGTGTTCTTCCAGAGAGCAGAAATTTACTCAAATAGTATAAAAACTTACTATGAAACTACAGAAGAATATGGAACAGACAACAGAATCTAGAACAAATGCATGCATTAACAGAAATAATATATGACAAAAGTAGATCAGTAAATTAGGGAGAAAAATGATCAATGAATGACAATTAACCCAGTGTACACAGAAGGCAAATAGAACAAGCATAACTAAAGACAGACGGGAAATCAGCTAATTAAAGGGCGCATGCTCAGACTGACAAGGGAAACACACAATTCTGCTCTGATAACTGAGATGAAGAATTAAAGGACTTTAAACAGGCATGGTGGCACACACCTATAATCCCGGCACTCAAGGAGGCAGAGGCAGTTCGAGATCAGCCTGGTCTACAAAGTGAGTCCAGGACAGCCCAGGCTACACAGATAAACCTAGTCTCGAAAAACCAAATACATACATACATACATACATATATGTATATATATATTACATACATACATATATGTGTGTGTGTGTATATATATATATATATATATATATATATATATATATATATATATAT